TGGTCAAGGTTGCCAACGAGGAGCCTCACATGTACGGCAAGCATGGTGAGCTCCTGCGTACGCTCGATGACGTGGAAGACGATGCTGTCCGTCGCGCCAGCGTGCTAAGCCACCGGGCAAAGGATATGGAGAAGGACAGTGACGAAAACACCAACAGCGTGAAGGCATAAGCATACACGACTGTGCTTTTTTCTTGGTCCGAACTCTCAAGGACTATAATGATTTAGTGAACCAAGCATGGGCCGTGTGGCCCTAATTGCTGAGCTTTTTTTATACCCCGACTGTTTCCGTGTATTTAGACCGAGAAACATGCTAGCTTTGATCTTCATACTTAACTTAGATTAAGTCTTGCTCGATGAATATTACCCAGTCCGGTCAGTAAGATGTTACATCCGATATAGCTCCTGATGAGTAGCCCCTTGCGTGAGGTATGCATCGATACTGCACGGTCATGCAGTTAAGATGAATGGATGCCATTGTGGACACTCCAAAGAAAGGAGCTTATCTTTAGCACCATAATGGAACGGTCCAGGCTTCCGTAATGAACTGGTCTAGAACGTTTGTTGCTCTACTAAAACTGAGCCCATCTATAGAGGAGATTGCAATATCCTGCGCAGCCTGAGGCAACAGCAAGTATCGCCAAAGAATAAAACCAGATCAGATGACAACAATAAAAAGCAATGGATACCTGCTCCGGCAGCTTCCTCAAGAGTATAGTCAGCCTTCATGCCAACACATTACCCGGTTTGATAGACTCTAATCCATCCATCTCCCACTATTCTGATTCAGATACGGTTTCGCGGTGAGTGGATTGGGACGCATTGCCCTTCTCTATTAAGATGGACAACGAGTGTTCTAATACTTAGTGAGTAATTCTGCTTTCACCATGGTTCGCTATTTGAACATCTAATATTGTACGCATCTTGCAGTTCTCTCGTTCGTGGGCTATCGATAGGCTATCAATCTCAAGGTGCCTCCACTGATTGACTGTATCTACTGCTCAATATCCTGCATATTGATGATAGTGCCTCGGTTATCACTCGTCCGCTATGAACCTGTACGACGAAGCTTTTGATGATACACAAATAGTATGGATTCAGAAGAGAATTGGCCCTCGTTCGATAGCAAGGTGACACAAGTCGTTCGATAACCGAATTTTTCTTTCTTTCATCGGATGGCATACATAAGCATAGCATGTCGTACAGACAGTCGCGCAAGCCTTGTTTGCTAGACTGTTAATATGTTCTTGCTAGCTCCTGGCTTGGAGAATAAGAGGAAAATGCAGTGAAACCCAATCGCGCAATTTTCTTCTTCATCTGTTCTGCATTTCTGGGATAGCGGTACTCTTTTTCCTAAGATTAACTGCAACAGCAGAGCGACGATTGACGGGCTAACGATTAGCTGGCCTAGCTCCAGGCGCAAACAAGGTGCAGGATCCGTCAGGTTCGCTGGCCGGGTTAGTGATGGTTCCCTGCATCCATGGGAAGGGGCAGCCGCTCCAGGAAGATAAGCTGTTCTTGTCTAGACGGAGAGGATACTGTGCCAATTCTTTCTAACTCCTTTCGTTTTATACAGAGCTACAAAATGGTACGAGCCGGTCACTATCTTGAGGGGAGCCAAGCTTAGGACTGGATAGAAATTAAGTGCGCGACTTCTAGTGTCGTCGGATTACGGTTCCCCGTTTCAGGCCCGTTCATCTGCTGCCCATGACTGGGTGGAGCCTATCGGTTCCAGTTTGTCTGCTCGGTCTCACCGAGGTCCAGATGTCAGAAAATGTGGAAGAGTGCCGTCTAGACTTCTATCAACTGAAAGAGATCAGGAAAGAAACGATGGATAAGCCCAGAAGATTGGCTCACCGGGCCATGGATTCAGTCACCGACCGGTGCAACAGAAAGCTGCAGATCGAACGGCAACCTCAATGACACTGCAGGATGCAGGCCTCTTTGCCGGACGAATGGAAATCAGCGACATCGGATTGAAGCTTTTTTAACTTTTAGTGTTGAGAGACACCGTTGAATTTACTCAGTTGGGAGTAGGTATAATTTGAATTCTCAAGCTGGGGGGAAATAGTGACTCATTGCGGACTGAAGGAGATTGTTGGTTAACTAAAACTTGTTGAGCACATCAACCGCGAAAGTGGATTCGTCCGACCGTCGGCTGGCAAATCCTCCTGGTGCTGCTCTGGAACCTCTGGATTCGTTCCATGGCAATTGTTTATCCGCCGAAACCGTCGCTGTTCTCGTGAGGATCGACTCTCCTCGGGCCATCGTTGGTCCGCTTCACGTCTCGCGTCTCCGCCTTTGTGTCTGCGGTTCTTTTTATCAATCGCTTGGCAATTGCCTCAGGACAGAGCCAGCCAAGTACAATTCCTCTGTCCCTTGCATTTTCAGCTCTTCTTCCCCTCTTTTCACTGAGTGAGCTGCGATTGACCGGAATCGTTTCATTTCTGCCTTTTTAGCATCACATCATGGCAGTCTTAGTTCAGGTAAGTTCTCTTAGTATCCAGATTTACTAGATAAAGTCGGTCCTCCGATCCGTGCACATGCTCAGAGCTCTCCCCGCTTTTTTTTTCTTCCTCAACGCTTGACTCAATGCTTGCAGCATCCACCCAACTAACCAGGTATGCAATCTCTTCTAGGGCTGATCACTACCATCTTGATCGTATATTTCCGATTTCTCCCACCGTGACACCACTCGCCACGAAGCTCTGTCTGTGCGGGGTGCCCAGCTGCATTGCTTGAGCGATCCTTATCAGCCACTTTATACCCTCTGTCTCCTCACCATTTTTTCTGGCTTTTAGAGGAACGACCGTCTCGCTCACCCCTGTAAGTCCCAAGCCGTGGCGTGGACGGAGTCTCCCCGGATCTCGCGCTAACTTTTTTTTTTCTTGCAAGAGTTCCTAGCAAACACTCCATCATGTCCCTGATGGAAGCGTCATCCCAGGCCCACGAGCCGGGAAAGGACCTGAGCGCAGAGGATATCCAAGAGCGATCATTGAGCAGCCATGACGGCGACGCGGAACCGAACAACGAGCCCGATGTTGAAGATATCGAGCGCATCTACAGGTCCGTCTCATCTCCTTCCTAGGTGCGAAAGACACCTAACCTTGAATAGAAAATTGGACCTCCGTATCATCCCCGCATTCTGGGTCCTCTACTTCCTTTGCGCAGCAGTGCGCTCCAATGTCAGTCTTGCGCAAACCATGAATACCGACGCCGGTCACGATCTCGGCTCCGTCCTCAACGCTACTCCACACCAAATCTCTACGGGTCTGGCGCTGTTCTACGTGTGCTACGTCGTATTCGACCTGCCGTCCAACCTCATAATGACCCGACTGAGCCCGCACGTATGGATGAGTCGCATCGTCATCAGCGTCGGTGTCATTGGCAGTTGCATGGCCGCCATGAAAGCCGCATGGAGTCTATAGTTCGTCCCCCGGCCCCTGTGTCACCTTTCATGTCTGCGCAACAGCAACTAACAACCCCAGCCTCCTCCGTCTCCTTCTAGGTATCGTCATCGCGGGCATGTGGCCTGGCATGACCTACTACCTGACACTCTTCTACCCCCCATCGCGCACCGGCAAGCGCATCGGCCAATACTACACCGCAGCGCAAGTCTCCGCCGCAGTCGTCGGTCTGGTATCAGCCGGATTTCAAGAAATGGACGGTGAGCGCGGCATGGTCGGCTTCCAATGGATGTTCCTCGTCTACGGCGTAATCACCATCGCTGTCGGCATCGTCCTCCTCTGGTGGCTACCGGATCGACCCCTCGCCCCAGGCGTTGAACCTCCACACCGCAAATACCTCTGGTGGTTCCCACGCAGTCCTCCAGCCCTCACAGGCCGAGACGCCGAAATCCACTACCACGATCTCAAGCGCGTATACCACCGCGCGCAATGGACCTGGATGGACCTCGCCCGCGTATTCATGGACTGGCGCCTCTGGCCCCTCCTGATCATGTACTTCGGCGTCGTTGGCGTAGGCATCGGTGTCCAAAGCTACGCCACGGTAATCATCGAAGCAATCAACCCCTCCCTCAGCGGAATCGACCTAAGTCTTCTCTCCGCTCCGATCTGGATCGTACGTCCCTCCCCGTCATCCCCCCTCTTACCAAACCAACCCACCAACTAACCCACCTGAAAATCCACAGATGGACCTCATAGCCATCGTCCTCGTAACCCCCTTCTCAGACCGCTTCCACCGCCACCGCGCCCTCTTCTTCTCCATCCCAGTCCTGCTCCAAATTCTCGGCCTCCTCCTAACCACCTATGCCGGAACCGACACCAACTCCTGGCCGCGCTACGGCGGCCTTCTAATCGTCGGCTTCGGACTGGGCCCGACCGTGCCCATCACCATGACCTGGACCGCGGAGGTATTCCAAGGCCGCCACGGCGAAGTAGGCGTGGCCACTGCGTCAGCAGTTGTCTCCGGATGGGGTAATCTGGGGAGTATATTGACGACGTATGCGCTGTATTCCGGGTGGAAGAGCGATTACGAGGCGCCGGGCAGGGCCAAGTATCGGAAGAGTAATCTGGTCATGGTGGGGATTTTGTGTGCGAGTATTCTGGCGGCGGTGTTGATGCAGGTTCTTGTCAGGGTGATTGATGGAAAGAAGGGTGGGGAGCAGGAGCAGGATAAGATTGTGGATGGGGCGGCGAGGAGGGAGGCGAGGCAGAGGGGGTTGGATGGGTTGGGGCAGGGGATGTTTAAGTTTTGGAAGAAGGCGCGGTGAGGAGATGGGGAATGTATGGGGTTTGTGTGCGTGGTGTGGGGTTAGGGGGGTCCATCTCTCTGATGAGAGCGGTCTATATCTATAGTATACACGATTATGATCACTGTATGTATGTATTTAATGCCAGTCAAAAAGCTGTTCCTGTTTTAGATGCCAGCAGCGACACCGCGAGTCGTCTAGATGAGGGAGAAATATCATGTCCAGCCCGTCGGGCAATGATTGTATTGACACACTATGTTACTGTGGTAAGTCGGCTATTAATCTATTCTCTGATCCTTCCGGTGCATGCCTGAAGCACGTTCCACCAGTTTATTTTCAAGTGACTGTCGGTTCCTCCGAAGTCCTCTATGCTTAACGTAACACATAACCCAAGTAGTGAAAAAAAACGAAATGCAAAACCAGCAGAGGGTAAGGAACGCAAGGCGAGCTCTGGCGGAGAGTAAATGAAGAGTCCCGAACTACCAGCTGAAGAATGAAAAAGAAATTCTATGTCTGCTCCCGAGTGTGCCAGGCTGCGCTATTGTCCACCTCCCTGTCGACGCCGGAGGGTATACGAGCGCTAATATGAAGTGTATTCACATTTTTAAACGGTATGTAACGCATTTAGTTGCCACCCATGAGCTGGTAAACAGTTAGTCATCTGCGTGATCATATCTCAAAATTCAGAAGAACTTACAGTCTCAACAATAATACCGGTGATCTGGTAGGGGCAGGCGTTACTGGCGGGACGACGGTCCTCGAAGTAACCCTTGCCATCCTTGGCGACCTGGCGGGGAATACGGATGGAGCCACCACGGTCGGCAACACCATAGCTGAACTTGTCGATGTTACCGGTCTCGTGACGACCAGTGAGACGCTCCTCGTTACCCTCACCATAGACGGCAATGTGCTCAACATGGCGGGCCTCGAGCTTCTTCATAGCGGCCTCAATGACCTTCATACCACCCTCAGCACGCATCGAAGCGGAAGAGACGTTGGTGTGGAGACCGGCTCCGTTCCAGTCACCCTTGATGGGCTTGGGGTCGAAGGAGATCTTGACACCAAACTCTTCAGCGACACGGTGGAGGAGGAAACGGGACATCCACAGGTGGTCACCCACTGAAGATACAATTAGTATTGATACGCACAAGTTTTCGACCGGTATGGGTTAACTCACTCTCAATGCCGTCGCAAGGACCGACCTGGTACTCCCACTGGGAAGGCATGACCTCGGCGTTGATACCGGAGATCTTGATACCGGCGTACAAGCAAGCACGGTAGTGAGCCTCGACGATGTCACGGCAGTAGACCTTGCCGGTACCAACACCACAGTAGTAAGGACCCTGGGCACCGGGGAAACCACCACGGGGCCAGCCGTAAGGCCAGCCATCAGTGCCGAGAAGGGTGTATTCTTGCTCCAGACCGAACCACCATTCTTCCTTGGCGTGGATCTCCATCAGACGGTTGGCCTCGTGGCGGTGGTTGTACTTGTTGGGAGTTCCATCGGAGTCCCAGGTCTCACAGAGGACGAGGATGTTGTCACCAAGGCGGAAGGGATCGGGGAAGGTAGCGACGGGGCGCAAGTAGACATCGGAGTTGTCACCGGGAGCCTGACCCGTTGATGAACCGTCAAAGTTCCATTCGGGGAGCTCATCGACCGATGTGACAGGCTTGGAGAGAGTCTAAAGCGCAATGATGGGTTAGCCCGAGACGCGCTATGTCACGTGCGACGGGTGGGTGCAGCCGGCGCGTGCAGGATCGAGTCACCGTGCGCAGGGCTTATCGGTGTTCGAGGGAGCCATGATAACGACGGGTCCCTCGTCTCAATCCAGGACAACGCCCGGCTCCACACGCGTGCAGTGAATAAAGGAAGTCGAGGGAATAAAGGAAAGTGCATACCCTGGTCTTGCTACGGCAGCCACCGACGGCGTCAATCCAGATGTACTCAGCCTGGACGGTACCTCGCTGGTCGAGGGACATGTACTTCATGAGCTGTTTCCAGCCAGTCAGTATGCATTTTCCTCAGAACCGCAAAGCGGCTGAAGAAAGATTATGCAAGGTATTAATGAGAAGATGAACGCACATTCTCCGTGTTGGAGATGACGGTTGCTTCACCGGAAGACTGTAGCGAAAGTGTGAGTCAGCGAATAGTTCTCAATAAATTCTTGGCAGGCAAGCAAAGCAACAGAAGCAAGAAACAGATTGAGAGACTGGTAGTGGAAGGACATACCATTGTGAAGTGTGTGTGATGTAGAATTAAGATAAATTCTTTTTTGTGGTTATTGAGCTTGCTAACGCAAAGCTTGTTCAAAGACGTTTGACTTTGAATTTGTGATCAAGTCCAATGACGATAAACGCGAGACAATCCAAAAGATTGGTCAAGAGCAAAGTTGATAGCGAGAGAGGGGAAGGACCCAGAGATATAAGAGAGAGAAGCTTGGAATAAAAGATGGCGGAGAGAGGAGTGAGGAGGAATGGAGATTGTAAGTCAGCGGTTCAGTGGGTGGGGAGGGATATCCTTTAAATTTAAGAGAATCAGGAAGGCGGGCTTTTGCTGGGGAGGGGGGCAAAAAAAGTCCCAGACAAAAATGGATCTGGAAATTCACAAAAATAACTCTGAAAATTACCGTCACAGCTTTCGGGCTGCGTTTCGGTTGCTGGGCATCCGCTTTCGTATTACACTTTTCTTTCCCACCGCGTCCGTTTCGCCGGATACACCGATCGCATTCAATATGCGAGGAGTTGAGGTCGCATTTGCTGCTTTTTTCGCATTTGCTTCATTGGACATCACTGCTTCATGTGGTGATTTAATTAAAATTCTATGGATCAACTTTTGTTGCTCAACTGATGGAGTGAAATGTAACTTTACCCATCATTCAAGTCAGATTCACTGACACCAGATGAATGCGGCAAGGCTGCAGGTTAGACCAGGGTTTGTTACGCCACTATTTCCATCGCCCATCCATTGTAAGGACTAGACCCAACACTGGCTTTTCCGATATCAAGTCTACGTACGCCGGTCTTTTTCCCAGCGTGGGCATGTCCGCGGCTTGCTAAAATTCACGCAAGACTTGCTAATGGAAAATTGATTCATCACTAACGGTGAAGATGGCAGGATATTGCATTAGCCATGGAAAAATGGGATTGTCCATGTCGGGTAATGGGAACACCTTGTCCACCGATATGCGTATCCGGGTCCAGAAAGAAACAATATTACCCAAACGGGTAAAATTGATGCAACAGCTGGGAAAAGTTCCCCCGTCTTTCTTTTCTTCTTTTGTCTGCCAGGACAACCTTCCGTGGAAGGCCACTACTGCAGTCGGATAATTTCCTAGAAAGCGCAAGTCGTAATCCAGACTATCTGAACCTTGATAGGCATTACTCTCCTCCATTGGGATTCATCCATGACTGAGAGTATTAATCACAGCAATCTCATTCGAACCCGCAAAGCGGTTGCCCCCTTCCTTCCCCAGATAATCTTCCCACCCCACGCGACGGTGATCTGAAAACAGAAGCGACCACTCCTGTTTGAGTTCCCACCGTGCACCTGCCAGCTATCAGGGCAGGATTAAAATTAAGGAATAAGAAAATAACAGCCACTTATCTCGTACTTTTCTACTATCAACTCTATGCACACCGCATCTCGAACGATCATGTCTGCTGACCTTGTCCTCCCCCCCCCCCCCCCCCCACACAAAAAGTAATCATGATATTGTCTGATCCCTCACTTTTTCCCTCTCTGGCCTTTCGTTACCCAGAGATAGCGACAGCAATTAGTTGCTAAGAGGAATTATCAACCAGTGGTCGGTTCCGATGCATATCAGCTGCAGGACCCGAATAGCTCGAACGTTGCCTGCGCCTAATCGCATTGACATGGGATCCTATTGGTAGGTGTGACATGATGGCTGCAATGATAGGAAAGACATATCGAGGTACCGGTGTCTATCTTTCCCGTCTTATCTTTGATGCAATTTGGGGGATATTGAAGCGGATGGCAGTAGTGCATTGCCTGACTACCACTACTACTATCATGAAGCTTGTGTTGAGTGTCTACTGGTTATGACCAGATATCACGGATGAATTACCGGGGCGCCTGATAGGAAACAAATCACGACCTTCCGTGTAAGCGCCAATACACAATTTGTTCCATTCACAATACGCAAATCCTGTACCTGCGGTTATCTAAATTGGGAGGATTTCCCTTATCAGTGGCTGCCCCTCAAACCCCGCCATGAGTCGCGTGGGTGGATCATGGCGCGCCTGCCGACTGAAGTTTTTTCACTTATCGGCCTTTTCATTTCCTTTTAATCGCGCATGGACAATACACTTTGGGTCGACGCTTTGCCCTTTCCGCACAGCAGTCTCAAAAAAGGCATCACGATCGAACTATTGTCCCTTATCCAGGCTACCGGCCCGGTGGAATATCCCGTTCCCATTTCACCTCCCGTCAACTCATATCAGTTGTCCACAGGATGCTTGTACATTGCGCATACAAAGTCTGACAGCTTACCACCATGAAATACAGTTACACACAAGCGGGTAAACCCAAGAGAGGGCATGTCCCGGATGCCTTGCCTCGCAACGCAAGTCGACTGGCTGATTTGCCGGGAGTGGGGCGTGGCAAAACATTCCTTGAAGGGAGAATGGCAAGAGAGCCGCCCGCCAGCCCCGAGACCGGCCACTGTTTCCATGTTAACTGGAGTTATAATTAGGTTTTGTGACTAATATCATGTGAGTACGGTGTGTTACTCGTGGGCGCACCGCCTCTTCTGCCGAGCCTGAAGGGAAAAACGGTTCCAGAAGGGAAAAAGTCAAATGAACGGCGGATGAATGGATGGAGGGGGGAAAGGGAAGAAGGGAAAAAAAAGAGGTTACTCCTGAGTTAGAGCATCCTTGTTCAACCCCAGGATTTCCCATCCGCATGCTCTGCGGTGACCCATTCGTCTGTTAGTGTCCGATCGTGGGTTTGGTCATTCCCTTTCTCCGCGAGTCTTTGTCTGCCGGGGGTGGGTGGAAGGGGTGCTGCAGCAAATGACAGAGAGGCCAAGTCGGGAGTTTCAGGAATCCGCGAGGGAGAGAGTGGCTGCGTTTCCGATCAGCCCTGTGGACGTCATGGCTGGCCTCCACACGGTGATGCCAACATGAGGTATCAGATGTCATTGTTGGAGAACTGGGCAGGATAGCCTGGTGGAATCCACCTGGGAGGCATCAGGTTCAGTGTCTTAAACCGTGCGCCATAAAAGCGTCATCTTCCTTCAACACATCCCTCCCGGTTACTGTGCGAATCTGGAAGCCGGGCTGTGTGCCGCGCCCCAGAATAGAACGGGAGCGAGAATAGCAGGAACTGAGCCATCACTGACTGTGGCGCTGCACAATGACTAGCCGAGATGGGTCTAGTGCCCTCCAGCCGACGACACAGTACACAATCCAAGTGACCACTACCATCATCACCCTACTTGACTCGTATCTGATCGTGATCCGAGTTTCACATTCATCCTGATACAGTAGCCCGATCCCCCCCCTGAATGAAAATGATACACAAAATAGAAAAAAATGCAACCGCATATACACGGACGGTAATGCCGAGTACGAGTGGACCAACTTACTCACCACCACCGGACTGACCAACAGCTGCAGCATATGGTGAAAAACTAGCAGACCAAGGATGGGTTCGGGCGTCACAACAGTGGACTGGCGGACCACGATGCAAGCCTCTCAGCATATCAAGAATCAATATATCCCTCACCGGCCAAGCAGAAAAAGAATTCAAAGCCCCCATTTCCGAATTAACCCCTCAATGAAACGGATGATAAAACTAATCAGAACATGGTTCTGTCTGTAGATCACGCCCTTTCAGTTCGCGATGCTTATCGTGGCCTTCTCATTGGTTGGTTGCCGGTGGTCATGACAAACGACGCTGACTGGTTTCGGGCCGACCAGAGCGATTAGGTGAGATGCGATTTACATTTGTGTAACTGGGAGATACAAAGTTGTTTGCTTCTTTGCGCTATACTTGAATGGTATTGATATTAACCTACTAGACTACTATATCGCTGAGCTCTCTTATCGTGATATTGTTTAGTAGTACGGAGTACTATATACCTTCATCCACATCTTCACCACTACATAGACTCATCACTATACATATAACATTCCATCCTACCATTCCTTCCCCTACAGAAGCTGATAATAGTAATATCCATTATTCACAATCATGATCCCTCGGAACATATCCCTGAGTCGCCATATGAAGTAAATGCACATGCACATGCAACACCCCCAGAGTTCCGAGAAATCCAACCATATACAATCCGAAGCCGATCAATCGACACGTTCGAATGCCATCACATTCCTCTATGCTTACGAGATCATGAGGATCATCACCATCCACTCCTCATCATCCAATTCTCATACTACAAATCACTCACTTATCGACTACCAAATTCGTATACTTACATACCTACACCACCACAATGACCCAACCCAAACCGGCACCAACAATACAATAGTTTAACCCATCTGCACGACACATCCAATTTCACTTCAATAATGACAGGTCATATCGACATGCCTAGTCTACAGCAAAGAACCCCAAGGGTAGGGTCTTGAGACTTCTTCTGCATGAATAGAAACCTTAATTATTGCAGATGATGAAGTACTATAGAGATGGTAGGTAGCTGTCCGACACACAGCAAAAAGATCTTCAACAAGGTAGTAGTATCAATGACTCAAGCCCGGGGATTCCGATTAGTTAACTAGTTAGTCCAGTCCTCAAGGGACAGACAGGGACAGGGCCAGCATCAGCACCAGCCACAGCAGCGATCTCGGCCGCGGAGTAGTAGTAGCTTTGTTGCATTGCAGGTATGTATGTATGTATGTATGTATGTATCATGCGGTGCCTGAATATGGGGTAGCTGAAGTATTTACTCAGCTAGCTAGCTAGCTGAGGTTAGAATTCCATACCGGAACCTACCTACTTTGTATACCTACATGCTTACAAAATTTTCAACTGAAGTAACCGGGAGAGACTACTAAACCATATAACCGTGAAACAGAAACAAAAACAGAAACAGCAACGAAGAAACTTACGTACATACGTACATAACATACATACATACATGTAATAATAATTCAATATCAACAGTAAAGTAAATTAAAAGAGAAACAAACAAACAAAAAAATAATAGGAAAAGAATTGAGTGAAAGAAAGAAAGAAAATACCTCAACAAAGTGTAAAAATTCAATCAAAAGCCTAGTCTAAACTAAGTACCTGACACTTACCCCCAAATTCCCCATAGTTAGGCATCCAGTTTTAGCCAGTCAGGGAGAGTAATTCGCGCAGTTGATCAAAGGGGGGGAAGGGAGTGCCGCCAGGATAAAATTTTTATTTTAGTGCATAATACTAGTAACGTCTGAGCTTCAACTTCGTTCCTCATTTTCTTGATTTCATCATTCATTTTGGCGGAAAAGTAGAAGAAGAAGTAAAAAGAAAGGAAGAAAGACACGGGATGGATGCAAAGTGCATACATACATAGTGACTTAGACAACATCTAAATTTTCAACTGTATCTTCTTTGCAATGTTTCAATTCAATTTCCGAGTATGAAGGAAGAGAGGGATTTATTTCCGCATATTTACATACGTACAGTACAGTAGACTAATAGGGGAATTCTCAAGCACATGTAGTAAATAGCAGTGTAAACCCTCCTTGCATGTTGTTGGGGTTGAGCTTTAAAATTTAATCCCTCATACTCTATTTTTATTTTTTCGCTTGAAAAGAGTCGAAAATGTGGCGGTCGGTTGGTTCAATTGGCTTGTGACTCAGTTGATCGGTTTCAGAGGGATCGGGTGGTGATCTACTCATCTATACCGCCTCGACTTACTACTACTACTATTATTATTGTTGGGCCATTTGCCGATTTTAGTTACCAGTAGATACTCATAGGTATAAACTTGCTATAAGTCATTGTGGATTCTTATACATATTATAGACTTGCGAGTTACAACAAATCCATTGGTTAAACTAGTTAACTACTTCGTATGGAAATGCTAGGACAGTTGTCATCAAGGCTGGTCTAGATTCCCGAGGCTCCTCTTTTTTGTGTTTGCCCCTGCAGATGGGCCGATGGACAGACACCCACGTAAGTTAACCCTCGCTCTGGAACTTTGACGGTCAGGTGCTTTTTCTATTTGCTTTTCGGTCTGGCATACTGTACATTTCATTCGCTTTCTGTCTTGCTAGTATTATTTTTCGGTGGGCCGGTTGTGATTGTTGTGATTGCTTGTTCGATTTGACCGGCATTCCACCGTTAGTCCTGTCAAGTTGCCTCGGATCTAGCTCCACACCCACAGGGTCACCATGGTCAAACACATGGCCCCTTCCCAGTAGTTGTACAGGACTGCATCACATTAAGCTTAGATTCCCTTTCACATGCCCGAGTCCATATCAGGTGGTTTAGAATCGGGTGTTACAGAGTTGGTTTTGTTTGGGATCAACTGGTGTATGACAGCCTCTAGCACCCATCCCACGCAAATACTGCACAGACCGTGATCCAGGAAAAATGGGCCGAGTCTGCTTCCAGAACATCGGTCGAATCTTCGGCAAGTCCCCACGTCTGAATTAGTGCGACTCCTTGTCGAGGATATCCCAGCTTGCATCACCGCTGGATGAGATCGATCGCTCTCCACTTCCGACGCAGTGGACGATGCGTATCCCTTCCCCTCTCACTGTCTCAAAATCCGCTGCAAGTTTCAGCGGCCCTTCCGCTGCCGCGCCCATCGTAAAATCCATTCCACCAAGATCCCAATGTCCTGTGATATTTCCAGCACATTTGCGATTTTGCTTTGCAGCTCGAGAGTCTTTCTCTCTGGGGTGTCCTCCATGTTGTCTGTGGTGGTAGTGTTATTGTCATCTAGGAGACCCGTCATGTCCACAACGGAGACCCGGCCGTTCAGTCCAACTTCCAGGCTAATGGACACCTTCGTTAATGCCGCCTCCACGAATTCCGACGCTTCGTCTGGTTGATCCACCGCGAAAAGTAGCATGATCACCGGTGCTTGTCCTAGTTGCGTCCGCAACGTTACGTCTACCTTGACATCATCAACAGTAGAATCGGGACCAGAGTTTCCGTTTCCCACCCCCACAGGGCCTTTACCCTTAGCACTAGGCGAAGTTGCTAGTTTCTCGAAGCCCCCCAGCAATGCATCAAGCCTCTTCTCGTTCGGGTCGGCATTGCTCAGAATGATGACATCTTTCTTCGAATTTCCATCGGTAAACCTGGGTGGACTGGACGAAATATTCGAAGAATCAGCGGGCGTGGCGGGTTTATCCTCATCGGGCTTGTACGAGGAGCTAAAAACGCTGCGGATAAGGTTGGCCAAAAAGGCGTACTGACGAAGGATCTAGAAAAATCTGTCAGTAGTCGACACATACATCTGGGTCACCGAATCATACCGGGATAATGTCTGCGAGTTGCCGGGGATGTGCAAATGGGATATCCCTCAATGTTCGGCCAGCAACAGACTCAAATGGCTGAAAAGTATAACTGTGATGCTTCGTACACGGCTTGCCCGTACTGTCAACCGATTGCACCGACATTCTGCGTCTCCTCCGCTCAAGCTGAGAGGCCTCCTCCGGCCCCAAACCCATAGCTCCTGCTGCCGACAAAGGCGACCAGCCCGGGGCCAGGAGTCCATCGTAGGTGACCATCTTAAATTCTTGCGGCAATTGCATTCCAAGATGGCGGTAGATATCAGATGCTGCCAGAATAGGTAGATCCAGTGCCGGCTCCAACTTCGCCACGAATCGACGATTAGGAGCAGAAGAGCCCAGCATGTTCGAGTCAAGTGCCATGGCGTCAGGGTGACCTTGGTTATTGGTCAACGTCGCCGGCGGATCAACCCAATTGACAACTGCAGCTTCAGACCCATGCGCCTCACTCGACGACGGCCCATTGTCATTGTTATTGACTCCCGTCAACACCTCAGACCCAACCCAGTCCTTCGACACACGGAGAGATGGGTAACCCTCTTCGCACTCCACTACGATACTCCATTTCCCCTCCAAACTGCTCGGCTCATCATCCGATGGCTGCCCATTCGTCGCATCAATCACCATCGCATCAGATGACGTCCTCTGCTTCTCCTTCGCATCCAGAACCCGTGCTTGCTGCACCCAGTAATCCAAACCGAGTCCAATGCGACTCCCCTTGTGCATACACGGCTGGCCAACCCAGCCACTGCACAGATGGTCGTACACCCCCGCAAACTTGCGATGTTTCCACTCCGCCTCCCACACGCGCTTCAAGCTCTCGTAAAGACCCTCAATGGCCTCGAAACAATTAACCTCCTGACTGAGCCGATCATGTTTGGCAAGCCACTGTAGATTCTCATGGAACCCACGCAACGACTTCCAAGCACCCCGGTCCCCTTCCTCCGGCGACTGTATCAAATCGCGCTTAAGCACCGCCGTAGCCTCGTCACGCTGCTCCCCATCTTGCGCATCAGGCGTCGCATACTTCAGACTAACATCCTTCACCACATTATACCCCCGGTGGAAGTCAATCTCCAGATCGACAAAGTTCCCCGCAATGCTGAGACTGTCTTCCTGCCAAATCGACTCGAACCCTTCGAGATCACTCAGTCGCTCAATACCCTCCCTGCACACACCCCGCCCCGAGACTCGGGCTCGTAGGAGCTGAACCACATCATCTATATGTCTTCTGCGCTCCTCCTCGCTGTCACGAGCACCCCCGAGCTTCAGTCCCGGCATGCCTAATGCCTGGATATCATTCTCGTTCATGCCTGCGCCGACAAGACCATCGTGTCCGGCGGGGGACGGACTGATCCCGCTATAGCCACCAAGCGCGAGGAGAGCCGACGGGGAACTGAAGGTAACGGGGTCCTCGGCTCCGGTAGTCGCGGCGAGAGGGGTAGAATATTGGTGCATTGAAACGGGGGGTTGGTTGTGTCCATGACCGGAAGCTGAGGGCGTTCTCGTTGACGGCGATTTGTGGGAAATCGGACGGGCCATATGAGCACCAGACGGACGAGGCGACGAGGTCAGATGTGTCGGAGTCGCTCCGGGGTTTGGCTTCGATGAGGGAGTCGCCATGGTGGTGTTTATTGAAGTGAGATCTATCCACCTCGAATAGGAAATTTACAAAGTGTATGAAGTAGCAAACAAAGGCTGGGTATCATGCAGAAAAATAGAGAGATAATGGAGAAGGAATCAAGCAGCCGATGAAATCATGGATGCTCCATACGTCGGACGACAGCAAAAACACACGACTTGAGCGGGGCAAACCGAAAGAGAGAGAATGATTGCGCAAGCGCCACTGTCTATTCAAGAAAGTATAGTAGATGAACCTCCATAACAAACGCAATCAAGAACCACAACCCAGGGAGCTAAATCGCAATGGAGGGGGGAAAGCCGAACAGATGGTCGTGCCTAGTACTGACCATCAACTGGTCGCGGCCGCAAACGCGCAGTCACATGAGTTTGCCCTGTTTGTCTGCGCAGCGTCATAGTTTCTCCAGGTCTTCGGATATTCTACCCAGCGTTTATTTACTAAGTTCAATTGAACTCCAATTCTTTTCATCGGCACTTCGTTTAAAATGTTTGGCATTCGCTCGTTCGTCCGCCAGACGCCTAGGTGGACGCAGCTCCGAGCTGTGTCCACGCTAGAGGGCCATTCTCACATCGTATGTACTACTTCATTCAAGAGCTAGCTAAACCGCAGCAATCTACAAACCAACCCTACTAACTTTCCTCTCCAGTACGTCTTCCCCAAAAACGGCACCAACGTTCTCTCCCTTCTCCCCTCCGAACCCACCAACCCGGACCTCGCCCTCGGCGTGACCTCCAAGCTCCCCCCAACACCCGATTCCTTCAAAGAGAACCCGAAATTCCTCAACATCCTGCAAGAAGTGATCGCGGAGCATGGATACAAAGACCCAGAAGCTGTTTCCCAGGCCCAGGTGATGGTCTCAACAGCAGGCGCGAACCTAATGTCTGGGGGAGTGCTGATGGGTGGCGCACGTTCGAGGAGACGGCGCGGCGAAGTCGGTGACTCCAGTGGCGGAGCTAGTGGTCAAGGGGGTGCTGGTTCGGCGGGGAGGGGAGGCTGGATTCATTTGTCGGATGGTAGACGGCCGCCGGAGTATGGGAGGATTGCTTGGTATGTCATTTTTTCCCTGTTCGTTCCTGCGGAATTGGGTGTGAGCTGACGAGGCGGGATGAATAGGCCTGAGGATATCTTTGGGAGTCTGGAGGTGGATGCTGATGGGAAGTTTGTGGGAGGGAATGGTAATTATCAGGCGAGTGGTATGTTGTGTGATTGATTGATTATAAGTTGTTGGGTTGGGTGATGGTGTGGCTGACCTTGGTTAGGGACTTATCGGATTGTGACTCGTGATGGAATGTAGGTTCTTTCTATTCCTGATATGACTGCGTGAGTTGTGCTAACGGAAGATTAGTTTCGGTCTGAGCCCATTTCTACGGGAGAAGTTGGTTCAGAGACTGCGCCAGCAAGAGTCTCAATAGGCTACTTGGTTAGGAGCCTTGTACAATAGTTCATGATTGTATTACTTAATGGGCTTTGTGGGATAGTATCTCCATTCAAACTGCTGGCAGTTGACACAATTGGATCATGCCTGAATTACAGATGATTAGCTCCCGGGTCCAGCCCGGAGCTTAGATTCTGGGTATCTCCATCCTTGATGCATATTTCGTTCCTCACTTCCCAAAAAAGTTCGTAATTCGCTGAGTTCCTGCAGGAGGCTGCTTCTGCGGGCTCTTCTTCATCGGCTTGTTGTGCGTGGCGCTGCGCATCTTCTTCCCTGCCGGCGTCACAGGCTTGGACGGTGAGGTCTTCTCCGGGCTCTTCTTCGGCGATGTATCTACACCAGGCTCCGTTTTCTGTAACTTGGTATCCTCCGTCTCGACATCCGGCGAATGCTCCCTCTTGAGTCCAGATACCGGCTTGGGGGCATTATCCTCGCTCCACTCCGCATCTTTCGTGGGCCTCTCATCTTTCACGCCTTGTTCCACCTTCACCGCAGCACCTTTCTTCGCATTGGCAAAGAAGTTCGCAATATTGCTCTTATTCTCCTTACTACTGACCGGAACTATAAAGTCCGGAGAATCATTTCCCACCTTCCCCACCTCCTTCGCCACAGGATAACATTCCAGCTCGCCCTCATACGGCTTGAGGATCGACTGCAGCTCCTTTGACCACTCCGTCCTGGAGGGGTCCAGCCAAGTCTTCATCTCCTTGCTATTCGGATCCAGAATCACGGGCATCCGATCATGCAGGAACTTCAAGTAGGGATTGGACGATGTCGTAATGATCGTATATGTGTAGAGATATTCATCGGAATCTGTATCTCAATTAGCTCCGACACCCCAACACTCCCTCAGGCATATGAAAATACAGTATCTCACCTTCGTACTTAACACTGTCCCACAACCCCGCAAAATACATCAAATCCCCATCCTTCCTCTTGACAAAATGCGGAACCTTCTCTTTCCCTCCCGGACCCTTCTTCAACCACTCATAGAACCCCTGACACACCACCACGCACCGCTTCCTCCGCTTCATAGACGTCCACAAGCCCCGATCCTCGATAAGTGAGTCATCTCGGCAATTGATCGTACGCATAAGACTTCCGTAGTCGGGGTTACGTTTCGTCCAGAACGGGATGAGACCCCAGCGCATGCTGTGGAGCTTGTATTTGGTGGCTTTGCTGTTCTTTTGTTTTTCTTCTCCTGCATCCTCCTTCTCCTCAACTTCGTCTGCTGCCGCTACTGCTGCTTCAGTCGCCTCTTTATCGGCGTCAGGTTGACTAGCTGGTTCATCATCACGATGATGAGAAGACGGGTACATATGCGTATCGGCAAGATATACAGCGCCAGTATTCCCCGGTGCGAAGTTGTAAGTTTCGCGGACGTCTTCGTCGGGAGGTGCGTCGTCGACTTGGAGGCCTTGGTCTTGGAGTCGGCGGCGAATGAAGTTCATGCGCTGTTTGTTCATCTATTAGTTACATGTGGCTAGTGGTGATGGTGATGGTGATATATAGTACCACCGGAGTAGTATACAGGGCGGAGGATGAGGTACGTACCACGCCTAAAGCGTATCGTCCACACATGGTGAGATGATTGAATTATCAATGAGGTGAAAATTGAAGCGCCGGAGTAATAAAAGGGTAAGCTGAAGTGGAATGCGACTGAAGAGAGAGATAGAAAGAAAAGAAGACTAGGTTGCGACGTCATGCGGCAGGGCGGAGAGGGAAGAAGCTAAACTACGATCGATCGGCGGGAATCTCTAACTATAACCTAATCAAGTAGTGAAGGGGGTCTGGAACTTCCCGCTATTTGGCAACTATAGAAGCAGCTGGTCCTTTTTTATATTTACTTTGCTTCCATGTCACTTATCTCTTTGTTTCATGTATCTATAATTCTATCTTCTCTTAGTGGTACATCCAAAGCGGTTAGCTGAGCGACTTGGAATGATCAATGCTACATCGCGGTGCTTTTACTATATTCGGAAATTGCTAGCTAACTATCTACTTTTGAGGCAGATTCTGTGATGGTTATAACTAGTATCATAGGGCTGGTAGCATACAGTATGGGATTTTCAAGATGAGTACTATAAACAATAGACACAGGTTGTGATCTAACCTACCCTATAGTGCTATATACACTAGATAACTTGGTAGTAGTACTTCATTATAACAAAGAAGAGGAATTGAAAGATGAAGGCGAAGCTCCCAGGCCTCTATAAATGTATATATAGAAGTCCTAATAAAAGAAATTAAGTTAAATAGAAGGAAGTTTGGAGACTGAACGGTGATGCACACAATAGCGTATATATTATCATCGCTCCTGGAGATACCCGCTAGCTTTCATGTATAGTACGTATGTGAAGTGAGTAGTAACAAATAACCATAATCGTGTGAATGCGGACAACATGTCATCTATTGAGATGTAGCTACATAGCACTGACAGAATCAATGCCATAGCCTGGTGTCATGCAAGGTACGAGATCTTAGCCATGTAGATCAATCTCAGGGATGGTCCCGAGAAGAGCCTCAAATGGAGAAGTTGAATCTGGGGATAAGGTAGATAGGATGGAGCATTACATCGACCGACGGATCGAATCCAGAACAGCGACATGATTATGACCCCGCAAGAAATATTAAGATGTTACTACGAATCGATAGATCCTTCTACGGTATACCATCATCAAACCCCACATCGAAGTTACCAAAGAAAGTATAGTAGATAATAAGGTAGGTCTACAATGTCTCTCCTCCAGTGATAGGGTGTAACTTTTTAACAGTCTTTTAAATGGTATTAGAACAATTTTGCATGTCATCCCTTTCACAAGATTCCAGACAATTCGGATTTTTATGAAACGAAAAATCTCGAAGTAAAAGCTAGACATGTTCAAGGTGAAAACCCAGGAGAGAAGAGAGAGAACTCCCCTCCCTCCGAGGTGCTTTCATTGCTTCATGGCTCATACATCCCAACCAATGCCTGCCCTTTTTGAGTGTGTGTTTGGAAAAGGAAAAAATAAAAAACAGATATCTTTGTTATTTGATTTCTCTCCTCCGCTAAAATCTCAACACCGTCCCTTGGATTACTTGATGGGTATCAATCTATGCCCTCGACATGACACCCCAAGCGCGGATCTTGTGGTCGGTGTAACCAGCGAACAGAGTCTGGCCGTCAGCGCTCCAGGCCAAGCTGACACACTCGGGGTCGCGGCTCTTCTTGCCCTTCTCGACGTACTCGGGCTTGAGCTCGTCAACCTTGCTCTTCTTCTCGAGGTCGAAGATGGTGATGCTGCTGGCGGTGGCAGCGCACAGCCAGTAACGGTTGGGGGAGAAGACGAGGGCGTGGATCTCGTCACCGGCGTGGAGGGAGTAGAGGTGCTTGGACTCGTTGAGATCCCAGAGCATGGTGGTGCCGTCCTTGCCACCGGAGGCGCAGAGGGATCCATCGGGGGAGATGGTGACGGCGTTGATGTAGCCGGTGTGACCGATGTGGTCGGTCTGGAGACGGCAGGAAGCGAGCTCCCAAACCTAGTTGTTTTTGCATGTTAGCTTTGATCCCACAGATACATCCTCTTCAGGTTGAAGTTCTCAGTGGAAAAGCAATAAAAGCAATAACAACATAAACAAATATGTTTGTCGAGTGTCCATCAGGGCATTGGTGAATGTTTGTCTCATGGCCATAAGGCTCTGAAGTAGCAAATACGTTTATGCAAAAACATCTTCTGGACTTGTCGAGATTGCGGATAATGGAAAACTTGGATGTGCGGGAGTCGACTCAAACGTACCTTGACGAGCTTGTCCCAACCAGCGGAGACGATGACGGGGTTCTGGGGGTTGGGGCTGAAGCGAACGCAGGAAACCCACTCGGTGTGGCCCTTGTCGGTGATGGTGAACTTGCAGTCACCAAGGGTGTTCCAGAGCTTGATGGAGCGGTCACGGGAAGCGGAGACAATCTGGCGGTTGTCGGCGGAGAAAGAAACGGAGAGAACGTCGTTGGTGTGGCCGACGAAAGTCCGGGTGGTCTCACCAGTGGAGAGCTCCCACAGGCGGAGGGACTTGTCCCAGGAGGAGGACAGAGCGTAGGCACCGTCGGAGGAGATCACCTATATAATCCCCATGAACGGTCAGCCAAAAGTATTCTTTCCTTGATGCTTTTCCCAGTCCCGCCTTCTCGTAGGTCTCGATCGGGCTTCGTCCTTCGTTGTGGGAATAATTCTTTCTTCTTGTCTGGACTGGGACATGGTGGGGACGGAGTGATTCGGAGGGCATACACAGTCAGAGACGATGTGAGAGTGACCCTCAAGGCTGCGCTTGGGGTAACCGTAGGCCTGCTCGTCGCGGGTCAGGTTCCAGATGATCAGGGTCTTGTCGCGACTGCCAGAGAGCAGCATGTTGGGGCTATAATCGAGGAAGAAAAACATAAAAGTCAGAACCCAGTTTTGTCCATTTTGATATATGAATATTCATGTTTCAACCAATGCGATCATTTTCTTTTCTCGCAACAATGCATCCATATACCACTTGTTCGGTAGCACATGCACACCTTGTTCGATTTTCGCAACAAAACGCATTTGTTTCATGTGTTCATTTCGGTGGTAGTGTAGTGTTGCCTTACTTCTCCAGAGAGGTAGCCAGGCAGGTAACCCAGCCATTGTGACCCTCAAGGGTACCGCGAAGGACGAGCTGCTCAGCCATGTTGGGAGTCTGGGAGGAGAGAGGGATGAACGCGGGCGGAGCAATTGTCGTTGACTCTAGGCTGGAGATAAAAATCACAGCATTGAGGATGGAGTGGCAGACACTCAGCGTGCCCGCCTGAGCCCTAACTAGCGCGCCCAGCCCTTCTCGCCGTTGTGCGGTACCGCCAACCCTAACTCGTATAAGCGAGTCACGTGAATATTCACCGCCTGCCTCGGCTGCTGACCGCCTATGGCCATCTATATCATAGATATCAAGTTGAAGTTGTGAATGAACCCTCTTTATCGAACGGCAATGCTTTTTATAACCCTCCCAATATATCCCTGTAAAGCCATCCCGGTGTATAATCTGTACAATCTCGCCCAACATATAATACAAGCCAACTATACAATCTCGCGTCACTTACACACACACCACCATGCCTATGGCAGCAGACTAGCAAGCTCAGTTGTTGAACACCTGCACATTGGGCATACGTCCCAGTCCAGGTCCACCAGTCTTCTTGGTCTTCGCAGCATGGAAGCCCGTGGCACTGTTATCCCGAACATGTTGACGCAGGAGTCTCAGCACATTGGAGTCGGCCCATCGTGACGGAACGGGCCGGTATGCAGCTTTGAAAGCACCAACCGTCTGCGCCCACTCGCCGCTCTTGGCTCCAGTACGCTTCCACGTCTCCGTGGGAGTATCCTGAGCGCCTGCCTCAGTGGAAACAGCAGCCTCAGTCCCCTCAGCCGGAGGGTCCTGGGTGGCCCAGTAGTAAATATCCCAGTCATTCTCATCCAAGAACCGGTCATACTCCTGCAACTGCTCCTTGTTCATATCGGCCAGATAAACATCGGCGAACGTAGACAACAGGAGGTCAGACTCGAGGATTCCGCGCTTGCGGCTCTGATCTATACCATCCCCGGATTTGCGTCAGCTACTCATTCCAAACAGAAAGATTCAAAGGGGAAGTGAACTGGGGATCACGAACACAACAACCGAGCCCTCATAGTAGTAACATCCTCGCCCTCCCGGCGCAGCGGCTCAACCTTGAAGGTAATGCCCTCCATCTCTCCAACACCAAGTTCGGGCTTCTGAGCCCCCGTCTCCTGGCGACCTCCGGTGAAATGCTCGACTCTTCCGGGGTACGGATCCGCCGGCCGGTAGTTGGGGTCGACCGAGTTCAACATCTCCGGAGGAGCCGGCTTCTCACCGACCTTGGGGAAGTCCTTGGTCATGGTGGAGGTCGTGTTGGGCACATGAGGGTTAGGGGGCTTGTTTGTCTGGTTCTTGCGATGCTCGGGGGCCGTGGATGGTGCGCGATCATTGTTGTTCACGCTGTTTTGACGAACAACCGAGCTGCCGAAGGAGCGCCGGGCAAAAGTTGTCGTAAGAGAGATTGACGAGGTCGATGGCCGCATGAAGCGGTTGATGAGTCTGGGTGCAGACATTGTGATGTCGCTATGATGATTGGCACTGATCTATAGTGGAAATGAATGGGATATTGGAGGATTGGTCGTGATATCCTGGGGGAGGTCGACGATAAAGTAAGAACCGAAGCCGAAGAATGACGGGGTTGACATCATCCGGAGAAACCTCGTTTGCATTGTTTGCAGGGCTGTTCACCAACCGTCTCCGGCGCATTTCCAACGGCGGTTGGTTTGCTCCCCTTGCTTCGCTGATGTTGCTATGACTGCAGGATGTCAGAGTCTGTGGGCTGCAATTGGCTCTCGAAGAGTGAAGTCTTATTGACTAGCATGGAATACAGTCTGGAGTTACACAGTATCGCGTTGGCCGTCTTATTGCTAGCGGCTTCGTGGTGACATACTACAGCACCTATCGACGGTCTTTCGACTTTGGGTAGAGGCCTTCTTTCTATGTGGTTAAAAATGGCTAGAAATTTGATAATAATACCGATCACCAGCACCAATATACATGCACAGTTGTCATACTCTTCATCAATAATCAATCAGTGTACCGTGAAGCAAATCCCGGAGCTACATAGGGCCAAGATGATAATGAAATGCATTGAAAAGAAATAGTCCATATTTTGTCATGACAAGAGAGAAAGCATCAACCTGGAACCTTCTCTTTCTCACGATTCTAAATTTAAACCGACATGGTCTAGATAAGGTGCTTGGATCTACATATCCAAAGCAGTTAGCCACACCACCCAAATACCAGACTAGGGGAAGCGTCATAGAGAGGAAAAGAACATACCTGAAGTAAGCCCTCAGATACACAACCTGCCAAGCACCCAATCCAACCAGCATACCCATAGTACCGAAAGCGAACCACTTCACACGCTCGTTCGTGCTCTCGTTGGTGTCACGCAGCTTCTGCTCGCGAGCGCGCAGGTACTCCATCTCGCTGACAATCTCGGCCACCATCTCCTCGATACGGCGGAGGTCGGTCTCAACGGGCTTGAGCTTCTCCTGGACCTGAATGCTAGACCAGTCACGGGCATCGGCACCGATGTCGACGTCGAGCTCGATGGACTTGTAGGGGTTGGCAACGGCGTCTGATAGGGTTGTCTGGTTAGCACCACATACACACACCACACAGCAACTAGTATCCCTAGCATATCAAGAGACAGAATAACCAAGGTGGATAGACATACGACGAGTGGTGAGCTGGTTGTCAAAGCAAACGTCGAAAGCAGTATCAGCGGGAGAAGTGAAGGCCTGGCGAGTCTCTCCGGCAATATCCTTAGGACGACCGTGGTCATTGCCCAGCGCATCCTTGATCTATTTCAGGAAGCAAAATAGTTAGCCAAGTATATCCTTTCTTTCGCAAGCGACACAATTTCAGGGTGGAATAGGACATCGGGACACAACAAAACAGCTGGCCCGACCAGCGTGCCTCCCGCAATCACCACAAACAACAATGGGGTGAGTTCCCACATACATGCATGTTAACAACCTGACCATCACCCTTGTTTCCGCTCACAATGGCCGTGACGACCACAAGCTGGTCCTTAAAGACGAAGTTGCGTATACATCGCTCGTTCTTCCCGCTCACGGCAGAGAGGTCGAACTTCAGGGCGGAGGTGAGTTGAACGAACAAGAGGAAGAGAAGACCGAGGAAAGACCTCATTGTGAGATGGGTGGCCGCCATTGTCAATGGCAGTTGTGGCAGTGGCCGGGGGGGAGGAGACTATAAATTGACAACGAGGCTCGGAAGCTGCTGTGCTGCTGCTATTGATGCCACGCCGCGCTCTGGAGCCCAGGGGATCCCGATCGGTCGGTGGAACGTTTCTCCGGATATCGGCCCACACGCCGGATCTATACAAACTACACATAGTACATTGATTTTGGACACCTACTTACTACTCTAATCATGATAGTGTAGGGATTAAATATCCGATTAAGTCGTTCAAATTCTTTCTATCAACAACTTAGGCGCTTGAAAAGTCAAGTAATCTCATTCATAGGCCATAATTGAAACTCTCTTCCTGAGGATACTAAGTAAATAAGAAAAGGTCCATAAAGTAGTGGATAGATAAAGGAAGAAATGTAGAGGGGGAATCAAGCGTGAGAAAGAAATACCGCTGGAAAGAGTGATACATCCAAGAGGTGCAAAGGCAGACCGCAATCCAAAAGGGAAAGGAAATAGAAGATATGAGCGAAAGAATAAAGCTCCAATATGGACAGGAAAAGGGCAAGGAAATAAAAGACAGTATCGGTCATCAGAGTTCGCCACGGCGAACAGGGCATGTCGTTTGCCTAACACATTATGATATCGTGTTCAAAGCAATGATTAGAGAGTGACAATGTAGAGAATTAGGACACAGGAGGGAGAATATAAGACGCATTGAAGGAGACACATCATGCCTCGACCTTCTTGCGGCGAACAAAGAGTCGCGAGAATCCCGAATCCTTAGACTTGGTAGCAGCAGGAGCCTTGCTGACGGGAGGCTCAGGAGGTCCAGTGTTCTTGAGGAAATCTGCCAGTGCGCTGGTCTCGGTCTGTCGCACCGAGGGAGTCTTGAGGTCATAGGCGCCATTCATGGCTCCCGCATTGCGCTCCATGCCGACCTTGACAGTATAGTTCGAAGCGCCTCCCATGTAGTTATCGGGCTGTTGACGCAGAGAGGTCTTGGAGGGTTTCGCCATAAGTGTCTTCTCGGATGCGGTGTTCCGACGCAGACGAGCCTTCACTGATGCTGAGCCCCGCCGAGAGTTTGCATTGGCCGCCAAAGGCTGTTGTGGCGGAGTGGGCTCTGGCGGGGGAACATTGCGCAGGAAGTCGATCAGACTCTCCTCATCACGTTTGGGCTTTGGATCTTCAAGAAGCTCATCAAGCTCGTCGTCATCGTCCAAGTCAATAGCGTAAGGGTCCGGTACACGGCGTCGTGTCCGTGGCGGACGGTGGTCATCGGATACGCTCACAGGAGCGGCAAATGTCGTCTTCGTTTCCTTGGCCATGACAGTCGGAGTGCTTGTCCGACTAGTAGATTCCAGAAGCCCTGTGCGAGAGCCCACGGAGACCAGAGACGTCTCAGCTACCGATTGCGTGCTAGCCACGGAGGGGGCACCCTTTGTGCGACCTGGCTCAATAGCCTGGAGCTCGTCCGAGTCCATGGTATCCCTGAAAGGCGCAACAGTACGCGGAATACGATGAGCCCCAGCCGTTGGTGGGCCTTCCCGAATGAAATCGATCAAGTCGGACGACTGATCGCCCCGGGGAACCACAGCAGAACGGGCTTCCATGCGGGGACCGCTACGGGCAGAGGCTGCAACAGAAACGGTGCTACTCGCAGGCCGGGACAGCTTCTTCGAAATCTCAGTGGCATCAGACAACCGACGCAGGCGCGACGACTTGGCAGGGCTACCATCAACCGTTGCAGGAGTGGTAGGAGTATTCGGCCCGGTGGACTTCAAAAAGTTTGCAAAATCACGGGTCGATTCCATGCTGTGCTTCGCATCCCGAGCCTGTCCGGCAGCCGGTTTCTGCTGTTGGACCATGGCGGGAATTTCGATGGATTTGGGTTTCGACTGGATGTACTTGGGTACTGGTGGAAGGTCCACCGTGCTTTTCGATGATGCAGTTGAGTGTCTCGACCGAGACATGTCATCTGGGGTCGGTTCAACGCTTTTCGGCAGGTCGGTCGGATCAGTACCTGCTTGCTGAGCACGCCATCTAGGTGAATCCGGCAACTAATAAGAGAGATTAGCATAGCAGAAGGAGCGGAACAATGGCTGACTCACCTCCATTTCCCTCATGCTCTTGGGAGTCAAGGTGAAATGGATTGTTTCCTCGCTGCGGATCAACTCGTCCAGGCCGGACGTATCGTCGTAAGCCGACTCCCTTGTCGAGACCCTGCTGACCTCAGACGAGGTACGGAGACGAAGCGAGCCAGTATCTGCAGGGCGACCGATAAGACCCTTCAACTTGCTCGATACCTGAGAAGTCGTAGAACCTGCAGTGACAGGACGCTTCTCACGGCTGCTGCTGAAACTGCCTGAGCGACGAGACTTGGAATAGACAGAAGACGCCACTGAGGTGGATGGTCGTGCCGGCAATCGCTGGACTGCGGCGCGTTCGACGCCGGAGCTGACGGAGGCTATCCCTGGGCTCGAGCGCCCGTACTGATGCTGAACCCCGGGTACGAACGAGCCGCGTTTGCCAGGCAATGATCGCGAGGATTCCGAAATTGCGCTCTCTCCAGAAGTTGAAACAGGCCGAGATGCTTTCTCTACGGCGATGTCGTCCGCAGAAGATGGAACAGTTGGAGGGGTTAAGTCGTCGGGAGTAGACTGGTCACAATCAGCAGCCTTGGACGCATCCTGATCGGCGGCGACGGGTTGTGCCGGGGTGGAGTCGACGACCCCCTGCGTTTGTGGCGCGACAGGCCCAGGAGCAATTTCTACCTCAGAGGCCACTTGAGCTTTTTCGTCTGTCTCATGATTCTCAACCTCGTCGGTTTCTTGGATCCCACGGTCGGTCAGAGAAGGTGACGACACTGGGGTACTACTAGCGTCACTCGATGCTACGACCGATGCGACCGATGTGGACGGGGTCGCGGCGGCCCCCTGTGCAGCGCTAGGAACCACCGGTTCATTTTGTTCGGCGGTCTCTGATTTAGTTGCCGCTCCACCGTGCCGCTCGTCATCCTCGTCATGCTCGTACATCGTCTCCAGGCGCCTTCGCTCCTCTGATGGAGTAGGCGACGTGCGCTCGGCGGGCTGCTCAACTTCGGATGGTTGTTCATCCGTAGGAGCAGCATTGGGCAAAGACCTTGACCGAGCATGGCGCGGGGATTTAATGTTAACTAATCTTGGCGTGATAGGGGAGTTCCCGCTCGATGAGGGCGATCTTGGTGAGGGTAGCGTCAGCACCATAAGGCTGTGGGGTCGAACCTTATGGGCTACAACGGCTTGCATCGTCTGGATGTCGCTAGTGTCGAGCTCCGGGAGGAAGCCTGCGGTTTCAATCTCCTGGACATCATGCTCACTCATCGGCAGTGGGACGGAGGCCGGGTCAACTTCGTCCTGGCTCTCCGGAAGCGGCTCATTCACAGACCGCGATGATGCGGTACGCGGCGAGATCTCATCGATTGTGATCGCACTGCTCTTCCTACTGCTGGGCCCGAAAACGAAGCTCTGGCGATTCACGAGAGATTCCCTTGACACCGCTCGCGACAAGTTGTTTCCTCGCATACGCTTCCTCCAAGTCCGCCAGAGCCTTCCCAGAGTGGGGTTCAACGCCAGCCTCTCCATGTCGTGGTCTTCCACGACCAGTCGGTCCATGCTTGCGCGGTTTGCGCCCGTCTCCGTCATATCGTCTTCATCCTCAAGGTTTGCTGATAGTCTAGACCGAGCTATCTCGCCCGCAATGATTAGGGCTTGCTCACCCATGTGTTCAATGATGGAGGTAAGAAAGATTGAGGCAGCAGGCGTGATGTGACCGACATGGCTGGCGAGCCTGCGGAGGCCGCCTCCATCTTCGCCTATGATTTCCTGGTTGATGTATTCCTCTTCATCATCTTCTTCCATGTCTCCCAGCCGCGTGTAGACCATACACCGCAGACGGGTCAGCTTCCAGGAACGCACAAGGTCGAATTCACCAATTGAGGTTTGGCCGCTACGAAATTCCAGCTGCTCGTCTTCCGGTCCACCCAGGTATTCACTTAACTCGTCATCAGCTGCCGACACCATCTCCTTGGCAAGTCGAGGCTTTAACACTTCGGCAACGGCGGGACGAATCTTGACCAATTGAGTGGACTTGGCCGCGGCCAGGATGTTGAAGAGAATGTTGTCGAGGAATGCATTGAGAGAAGAGAGGGCTTCACGAGTGACAAGCGCACTCGCACTGGACTCGTGGCCTTCATCGTCGGCCACAAAGTCGGCGGCGTTGAACTCTTGGTCCGCAGTAATAATTTGAGCGGCCGCAGACGAGGCGATATACGAGGGCGCGGGGATCACTGGTGGGGGAGCGAGAAAATGGGAACGGGAGAGTTGCGAGTCGCTGGACATGCTGGTGCTGCGCGAACGCGAGATCGTTCGTCCCAGCTCGTGAGACTCGAGTCCTTTGGTGTGCTGCATGGTTGAAGCACTGGGTCATATACCGAACCCGACAGCGCGCAAAGGATGGTATGTATTAAGAAGTAGGATAGAAAGTTAACGACTCGGAGTAAGATATCGAGGGTCAAAGAGAATGGCCAGAAAGAATAAGGAAGCACGCTAGATCATCCTAGAAGTCATAAGGCATAAGCATATCTTCGTCAGCTTTTCCAACAATACGACCTCCGATGCACAGCCTAGTTTGGGGGCCTTTTGCTTGATTCGCCTTTGCGCAGTCTGCCTTCTGAACGGATGTCGTAAGATGGCGTCGGACCATCCCAGACTATCAAAAGCAAAAAACAGGAAGGATGACTGGGGGGAGGGGCGCAATGAGCAGCGAAAGGGCGAAGAAAAACAAAGAAGGACCGAAGCAAAGCGAGGAAGAAAAAAGAAAAAAGAAAATGTACAGAGTACCCAACGGGGTGGATGCAGGGTAGAATAGTGTCGCGACTAAGTAGAACGTACCCGGAGAAAGGAACCAATTAACAGTACGTCGGGGTCATGTCGATAAGTAAAGACGCGGAAAGGGATCTGAAGGAAATCGATTCCGAGAGATCAATAAAGAACTGGACGGAGAAGAAAACTCATCGAAGAGTTCTATAGCAGAGGGAAGGAGAAGAAAAGGAGAGAGAGAGTGTGTGTGTGAGTGTAAGAAAGAAAGAGAGTAAGTGAAAGAAAGAAAGGAAGTAGAGGAAGAAAGGAAGATTTGGAGTAGTTGATGGTAGTAGCTTTGGGGGGAGATGGATTTCAGGAGTAACAGACAGAAGAAGATCCCGTTGCAATGAAAGTTGTGTTGCTCTCTGTGTTTCTTGTCTGTCTGTCCGTCTGTCTCTTCTCTACTGCTAAACTAGGCTCTAGCTCCCCATTCAAACCCGAGAAATGAAATATTTAGTGACTTAGGACTGTTTAGTATTACTGACTATTACAATTACAGACTAAACTGGGCGACTTAGTACCACTTTAGTCTCTTTTTACTCGAAGCAAAATCAGGAGAGGTGGATCCCACCCTTTTCCCTCCCGGCGGAAGAAGAGAAGCAAGAGGCAAATGAGGGTCGAGGGGAGAGTGGAGTAGGGGGGGGGAGGAGGAGGAGGAGAAGAGAGAGAGGTTGATGGAGGCGACGGTCGCTGTGAACGGTGAAGGCTAAACTTGGGATTATCAAATTGCGCGATGGAAAGTCTTATCCGCTCTTTTGAAGCGGATGGGCTGGCAATCATCTCCGGATTCCTTGCAAGGTTGTACCAGTTGGAACCTTAGTACAAAAGTATGTTGTAGGGTGGTGTCTGTCTTCAAAGTATCTATCTATCTAGTATCTACGTATCTACTGGACTAAATGGAAATGATTTGATTTGACTTTGGACGGCATTAGACTCAGCACGAGTCGGATGTCTCCAGGCACGAGCGGGTTGCCGATCTTGCCACTCGGAGGGTGAATGCTGTGCGTGTGTGTCATACAACAACGTGGTACTACTATTGGGAACTTTCGGCCGCCATGAACCACGGGTTTCCTTTTAGCAACTGGGGAGCGTTGCTCTAAGAAGTAGTTCAACAGCCTTGATGGCATAGTACCTTGGTTGGATGAGCAATAGTAACAACCGTGACTTGAGACCGTTGGAAGAAGCCCTTGGGACCTTTTTTTTCCTTTTTTTCCCTATTTTCCCACTTTTTTCCAGAGAAGCAGCGAAGGAAAAGGCAGCGAAGCCCCCAAGAAAGACGACGATCTCCAGAACCAAACTAACTAACGAATGCGACCCACTCAGCCTTCGAAACAAAACCCTAAAACCGTCCGACTGCAGGAAAGGGGCGCTACTGTACGTCTGTAACCGCTTAACCGACCCGTGTTGGTCTGCTTGGCCGCTCCGCCTCGAGGTTTCTCTCATCTTAGGCGAAGTTGTACATCACTAGTAATCCTCTGAATGTTTGAATGAAAATGGAAGGTGTCTGGGACAATGATCCGTGATTTTCCTGGACGAATTTCCTGGGTCTTCTCCCATCCCCTCTTCTGCCCTCTCTGCCTAAAGAATAGTCACAAAGAGATATGCCACGGTTGAGCCCGTCTATTGGTCGTACCAGGTTTCGGTACTTCATATCCTTCCCGAAAATATCCAGACCCATCCAACACAAGGTCAAACTCTGATTTCCGACTATTAAATCCAATCAATACCCCTGGGCCGAAGCAAAAGGCGGCCGTGCCCAGGGCCAATGGACATGGGGTCCACCCCCATCACCACGGGCACTCTCCTCCCCCTCTGCCTCTCTCACTCCCCTTTTGAGTCTCTGAAGAATTAGAGGTGCGATGGTGCTTTTTCGGAGCAATTACGCAATGAGGCTTGAAAAAAAAGGGCCCCGTTTCTTTCTAGAAATGCTAGGCATTCCTGTCAATCTGCCTTGTACCCGTCACAGAGTTCTCACAAGCAAAAGGGATGACAACCGAGACGAGGTCGCAATTATCAAAATGGGGATCATTTCGAACGGGACTGACAAGGTAGATCATCGGTGGGTAGTAACGACCATAATGCATGAGCGTGCTGCATGACTCTCCAGCACACACACACACACACACACACACACACGCAATTTCTCCATATCTACCCCATACGCTACTGAATTGCCATATGAGGCTAAAGGACGCCCTGACAAATCTTATATGACTATTCGGGACCACAAAATCCTCCGACCTTCCTTCTCAGTATTAAGCTGCTGGGAAGCACAGGGCAAATCCCTGCTTGATGTGCCGTCCCCGAAGTTACTATGGAGTGAGTAGTCTATCTTCTTGCTATTTATTCCTGACCCCTGCAATAATCCGGGTGCGCAGTGAGTTACTAGATACTAGTTAGGTAAGAAGCCAAAGATTTGAAATACCATTACAGGCACACACCCACACAACCCCCCACCATCACGCGATCGAACAGCCATACATACAGCATCGCTGGACATATCCCAAAATTCTCCTCTCCGTGCCTTCCCAGTGGACCGATCCCAGTACCCAGTCATGCTCAGTCATAACCAATGGACAGACAGTGACCTCCGTGGTTCTCGCATTCCGTGGTTCGGACGGCCCTCGATATAGCCGTTCCGGGTAAGTCCTCGGATAGTTAATCGGGTACACCAGGGGACACTGGCCTATGATTGGTTTCCGACTACAGATTTTAATCTATCTCGGATATGGTCGCTATACCCACTTTGTCTCTCTCTCAGGCTTCTCAGCTGAGTCCGTTCAGGTCCCAGGTTCAGCTCAGCCCAGTTGGGTCTAGTTAGATGGGGAAATATCCACGTAAAATCTCCAGCTGAGACCACACTGCATGACTCAAGCAGTGGCTATATTAAGCGACGGGGAGACCGATAGTAGATGGGAAGTCCCAATAGGCTGGAGATGCACGGTAGGTGCATACTCTATCTATCCATCCATCATTAAGATTATTCTAGGTAGTACACATATCCTCCTTGGGACCATTGATCAAAAGGAATAATAATCTAAAGTAGTGGGGGTCAGCTGTCATTCCGGAGCCAAGGACATGGGACGCACTGGGAGGGTGCAATCCTCGAAGAGTTCTAGACCTCGAGTGATCTATGATGGATTCAGCTATTGTATTTACTATATTCTTCTCGGCTGCGTCTAGATCACGCCTCTATCTATCACCTGAACATCACTTTGAATCTAGACTAGGATACACTTCTCATAAGAGATCTCCAACCCTGGCACTTTCAACCTAGTAGCTACAAGAACAACAGCAGCAGCGACAGCGGCAACATGATCCCAATCACACCAACCACAACAAAGCATCACATCTTCTAATGCCATGCATCCTAGCGCAGCGGGAGTGGCTTGTCAATAGTCAGAGCACTATTATTCAGCTAGACCAACCCCCATGTCCCATAATAACGGAATGAGATCAATACTGCTTGCTGCCCAACCATAACTACCCAGAAGAAGAACCCAACTAGTGACAGACACCTCCAGCTAATATGATCTCCACTACTACCTACCCAAGATCATCACGATCTAGACCTACAGATAACCATAACTGGTTGCTCATTACACAAATCATGTTCCCATGTAGTACTACTTATGCAGGTGGCCTAGGATCCAAACTAGCTAACTAACCCCGCAATCACACACTCACCAGATAGCCCGCACATGTTCTTGTGTAGCGTTCAACGATACCTTCTGGTTCGTGTGACGGTGTATTTGATGGATGAACTGAGTAGAGTTCCTGCTTCTGCTTCTGTTTCTGGTGTCACAAAGACCGAGATATACTCCGATACAAGCTGACTGACTGCTAACCGGTACCCTACTCAGTAAGCAAATACTCATCAGTTTCTACCAAAATAGTTAATGGAGTTCCTTGTCCATGTACAGAGTATCAACAGCATCTGAACCATCCAATCCCGATAAACACCCGGCGTCGGGGCACAGTCACACAGCCCAGCCCAGTCCAGCAAGGGAATCCAGCTAGCATCATCATCATCATTATCCCCTGCTGGGATTAGGGATGATCAGTCGATCGATCTATCGATCGCAAGTGCGCGCGCGTGTGTGTGCCATACCCTGGCGCAGCCTGCATGTACACAACACAGCAAGTACATAGAGCCAGGCAGCTATCTGTACACAAGTAATGAGCAAGGTAAAAGGACTCAAAGTCCGAACCCCGACCGATCAGCCAAAGTAGACGGAATACTACTACTACTATACTACTACAGTAAATGACATGCATATAGCCCCCATCTCAAGCCAGCCAACATGACATGTACTGTATGTGCTCCACACCACCAATATGTAAGTAATACAAATACTTAGCGAACAACCAACAATGAATCAACAATAGAACACACACAAAGGAAATACACTAGACTGCATTAAGCAATAGAAACAACATGGCAGCATTTCCAACCAACTCATCAATCACACTTTCATTAGAATCATACGATCTAACTGGCTCGGTGGAGGCGATGGTGGCTTCGGTAACTAAGATGTTAGTACGAAGTTAGTTAGTTGCTTGCATAGTGGACAAGTAGACTAGTAAGTAGTGTAGTTGATTTGATTTGAATTAATCTGGTGTAGGCGAATTCCGCTTTCCGTTCATAAGGCCGGCTCCTTCATTTACCCTAGGTAGCTAAGTAATTTAATGGGTTAGTTTCTGCCTGTTTGATTTGATTGTGACGTGGCTGGCTGGCTTAGCACACTCGGTTATTATTCGTTATGTCATTTTGCTGCGACGGCCTGATAGTTACTTGGTTAGTTACTAACTAGTTAAGTAAGGTACTGATCGGACCGGATCTGACATCAGCTCTGATCTGTTGTTGGAGTCAGTAGTCAACATTCCTTCCAGCGAAGTAACTAAAAGTGTCACCTATGCCCGTGGTTAGCGTAAGCAAGGTTGCTGACATGCCCTTAACTACTGGTTAGGTTACTAAGGGACTCAACTCGGAGGTAACTGGCCATGTCATAATACCGATGTAAGTAGTAAGTAGTACCCTATAGGTATTATTTGGCCCCCAAGCGATCGGTTTCACAGCAGAACCGGGTATCATACCCCAAGCCTCGCTCGTTTCAGGTCAGGTGGATTATCCACATTCCCCAACTAGGCACTTACTATGACAATGTGTGTTACAGCTGGACGGGCTGTGCCTTGCTTGACGGACTCAACTTGTTTCAAGACTGACAGGAAAGGTTTTTTTCAATAGCTTCCTTCATATGGGCATATGATTGACACTCCTATTATGTTTCAAGTACTGTTCGATAATGAGACAGTATTCTCTGATGGCCCGGATCGTGTCTATTGCCTTCTTGGGCTGGTAGGAATCACGACTTGTTTGACTTTGATATGTAGAAGGAAATGGCACTTTTATTTCAATGTCATGCTATTGATAAAATTATCAAGACTATTGAACCCCGCTCATGAGCTTTTGGTAAAAACCGGCTGTGCTGTGCAATGGCACACCGTAAAAGAAAAATGTCAAGCAAAAATCAATATCTGGGCCGATTCCAGTTTGCAAATTCTTTTCATCCGTCATGTAATCATTTCTGTATGATCTTTGACTCTAGTGGACCAAAAAGCCATTCCAGTTTTCCAGTGCATACGCAACACCGCTGGTGAAGAAGCTTAGCTCGTCTGGCCCTACGTTGGTGTCACACGCTAGTCTTTCGGAGAGTAGATTCTCGATCTTGGCCAGCAAGTCCTTGTTGTGACTTCTACCGGCTCTCGACGGACGGTCAGAGGCGCCTTCTTCGTTAACGAGGTTGGCAAGTTCTCCAAAGTCCTCCTTTGCAACTATGTTGCGGAAAAGCCCAATGACGTGATTCAGCACATTGTCAAAATAGGTACCGCTGGCACTATCCAGGTCCAAGTACGGCGAGTCCAGGCGACCGATGTAGAAGTCATTGGCCTGTTTGCGAAGGCGGGTTTTGTATTCGAGATCAGGAATCCCGTTGATGCCATTCATGTAGGCAAGGAACAGCCTCTTGTCGAGATCGACGACGTCGCTGGGGTGCTCTTCAGGCAGCTGTTTGATCGACTCGAGCGTACTGCTGAGTTCGTCATCTTCGATGTCATTGACGTCCAGTTCGTCAACTGACTCCTGGAACCGGAGCGTGCCAGATGCCAGTGCACGTTCCATTAGCTCGTGGCCAGTCAGCTCTGCTTCAGAGTCTTCATCGTCGTCCAGTGAATCTGGAGCATCGATATAACGTATGTTCGTGTCAAATCGAACCATGGGTCCAAAAGAGATGAAAGATCCATCCAGGGATTCGGCATCGTCTTCGTCACATGAGTCTGACATTATATCAGATGCGTCGTCCCACCCGGAGACATGGTACATATCATCATCATCGTCATCACTGTCTTCGAATATCGCATCATAGTCGTAATCCGAGTTTTCCGATGCATAGCCCGACTCTGATTCTTCATCTTCTTCGATTTCGGAATACGGTCTTTTCAAGATGGGCTTCAAGAAGGAACCAAGAGACGGTTCGGTTGCAGTCACCGGGCCTGATACACCAGAGGTGTTCGAGGTGGCTTGCTTGGTCGACACGACAGAGACTTCGTCCGAGGCATAGCAACTGTCATGAGAGATCGATACTTCAAGTTGAGAAAACGTTGAAGAGAGAGACTCCCATGACTTTTTGTTCATGTTTTGAGGGCTCATTTTGGTAGAGGCCTTTTGCAGAATGATCTGGTCAACAAAGGATGCCAACAGCGGCAATGACCAAGAAAACCCAAAGCAAACTTGACAAAAGTTTTCCCACTCGCACTTGTAGCGACTGGGATGGAGAGAGGTCAATTGCCTTTGGCAAGGAAAGAAGAGTGGAGATTTTTTGATTTCAAAAAGTGGCTTCGAAGGCCTCCAAATGGTTTGAAGGAATCCATGGTGAAGCACAGGCGCAAAGGTAGTAGCCGCCTAGTGAGAGCCGAGAAGGCCCTTGACCAGAATAACCTCGCAAAACATTATGGATATTTGTAAATTCACTTCAAATTGGGGGATTGTTTTGAGTCAAGACGCATGCGCGTTTGGTTGTTAGAAAGGTTCTTGGCCGAAATATACGGTTTAAGCCCTTTCTTTCCCTTGAAAACACGTTCGATTTCGATGGAGTGTCTGACGTGATACATATAGACTGCTGGGTCGTTTGTGAACTCGGTTGTTGAGTTGACTGAGAATGCGCAGTATTTGATGCTAGACAAATACCGCGACGCGTAAAGTAGTGCTTAGGGTAGTATCCGTCAACTCTGCGTGAGGATGACGGCGTTATGGGCTCTGTTCGGAACTTGGCTGGGTGCTTTGTTCGTAAAGAGGGGCAATAACCGATGGCCGATGCCCTGGCGCTATAATGTCATGCCCACTTTTCGTGGGGATACGAGTGGTGCAACGGGAGGAGACGAGGGGTAAGGAACAAAAATTCGTTGAGAGACAGTCCCTCAAAGGAAGTTCGAGTATGATAAGTCTCGACGACTGTCCGCCGAGAAGTGTCTAGAATGGATGAGAAATAGCACAGTAACCAGTGCTGGGGTGGAAGAAAGGGATGGGAACAAGGCGAACCTCGCGGGTGTCAGTCAGATTTCCGTCATCACCACATGACCTTGGCCTTGTTGCCTCCCTTTCCTTTCCTTTCCTTTCCGGCGCTGCCATCGGGCCGATTGCGGAATGCTCAATGGGGTTTAGCTGTTGCGGCTGAGTCTCGCTACTTCCTCCAATCAACGCTCGTTACTGCTCGGCTCGGAGTCGCGAGTACTTAATTCCGTCCCGGAGTCTCTACGTGCCGCCGGTGAGTGTTTCTCATCATGGGTGTGGGCTGCTGTGTACTCTGGAGGTAGCATTGATTGTCGAACATGATTACTGCTGGAGCTGGCCTGTTCGCTTAGGTTCTCTCCATGCTCCTGGGTTCTAATCCACATCTGGCTTCTTTCTCCACTTCAATCTCGGGCTGATGGTTTACTTTTCTTTGAAAGAGAATCAGTCCTTGTCGAGGGGACAGCGGCACAGTGACTTCCCAAAAAGGAAATACGCGGCACTACCACTTGCCTTTGCTACAATGCCTACCATCTTCGTCCGACTTTCATAGTTGAGAATGACTTACATTTGATGCAGAGAATCTATATTCCATACTTAGCATTACTCCATGCTCGTTGTCTATGTTTAGGTTTTGGTATGCTTAATGCACTAAAAGAAGCTGGCCCTAGAAATTCTTCTGGGTGGCTTGCTCGACTCACTGTACCGCCAGAACGACGGTTGCGGCGGACCCCTGATAAGACACCTTCCAAAACACCACTTGCCTTCAACGTCTCTTGGAAGAGTGTGACCTTGTTCCGATCGCCTGTGCTTCGTAAGCCTAAGTATTACGAACCCCAGCTCCACCAGATGCTGAGGAATCTGGACAAAGAAAGGGCAACTTGGCCAGGGAAATGAGACGGCCTCGCTTCTGAGACGAACTTATGCTGTACTAAACTCTCCCCAGGCTGGCGAATCAGGCTGTCTATCTTGAGACAAGGAACAAAGAACTCGCGATGAAACATCACACTTAGAGTTCCGAGCCCTCGCAAAGCCGATTCTACGATACGGACCGCTTATTCTTCAGCGTAGTCCAAGGCCAATGGGTACGGAGCTCAGCAGACTCACTGAAGGTGTAGGCCAGAGCTGAATGCGAAAAGCTACGCCCTCCCTCCTTCGCCAGGACTTCACCCGTAATGGGGGATAAGAATAGAAACTCGTGTTAAACGACGAGTTAATCTACAGATCTAAAGAGAAGAATTTTCTTTCTTTTTTCGAGCTAATGCTTAATGCAAAAAGCCTACAGGAAGGGCTTTGATCCAGAATGCCAAATCCTTCTGTCCACACATTGTTACGGGGGGTGTGCATTCTTCCTAAGCCCAGCATTCCAATGTTCAGGCCAACCAGCTCACCAACGGTAGCTCATTGAGTACCCGAAGATCATTAGCTCCACCATGCGGGAAGAGCGTGGAGCAAAGGTTCGGTCGGGGTAATTTAGTGCAAATCATTGAGGCTGCTATCCTACGTATACGACTCAGGATGAGCCAAAGCAACCCAATGACGCTTACACTCCAGGTGTCAGTCAGCCCGTTGAGCCCCCTCTCCACGTCGTCCCTTGACGCGTCGAGCCGTCGAAGCCGGTCGACCTCCATTGTGACACTCATAGTTCGATCCAGCCTCGACATCGATTATCAAACAATGGCGAGGTCGGTATCATTGGCTCAGCACTCGCTGGTTCCTCTAAGACCCGCCCATATCCGCCCTGCTGATACCTCTGCACCCTGTTTCTGGCATAGTAAAGGTTGCATTCCCGCGGGTGGCCATCAGTGCTCCGAGCCCACTGGGTGAAGGATGTCTGGCAGTGGATGGCACGAATCAGCCACCGACTTTGCACTCCTCCTGATTGGCGACAATGGCTTGTGGGAAAGGCATGGGCCGTTCTGCTCGAGCAATTGGGCTGGGGTGGGCCATATCGAGGGGCTGCGTATTCCTTGATGGCACATTCCCTGTCTATCTTGCCCTTGTTGAGAGCTCTTGGAATGTGCACAGAATCCAGCGGAGAATCCAGAGGCTGGGGCCCATCGTAGCAATTCAAATAGGAGCCCTCTGTCTGTTGTTTGTTTGCTTTGTCTACTTTGCATTTTCTGCACTGTTTTCTTCGATTGTCAACTCGTCAAACTGTTCCAACACTGCCAGTGCATTCCATCATCACTTCGAGCCATCGTCATCACCGCGGCCATTTTGGACGGATACTCGGCTAGCTTAGCCGTCCCTTACTTTGCGTCAAGCTTTCCTCTGCATCAAGCTTCTGTGCTTCCGCGGCCTTCGTCGCCAGTCATATCTACTCGGCCCAAGTGTTCGTTGGGTCGACCTTTGACAGCTCCTCTGGTCGTCGCCGCAAACGGAAAGCGGCACCCTGACTGGCACAATGTTCGCCCAGCAGTTCGACCATTCCTTGAATGATTTAGATTTATTTAATCAGTACGTCAATATGGACAACTCCAGTGTGGATGGCAACAAAGATGTTTCATTCCCTGGCGATCTTGACCAAATATTTCAACTTGAGTCATTGTCCAGCGACTGTGGCGAGCACTCTCCGGCCATCTCCACATCAACAGCGCAACCCCATCAGCAAACAGCCCAAAACTGGAGCAAAGACTTCTGGTGTTTGTCCCAGAACGCGGACTCTTCTACCAACCAAGGCCAAAATTTCTCTCTACAGGATACTGTTCACCCATCGGCCGTTTCTGATTTGGGTGTCAACTTTGAAGCTCCGCCGACAGCGTGCGCTCCGGAAACCCGCCCTTCTCCGTCTACTCCTCCAGCAACTCCTAGTCGTAAGACCACCAAGAGTGCTGTGACTACGCCCAAGGTGATCCGACGTCATCGCGAACCTAATGATCGTCGTGGTCCGCTGCACAAGCAGAGCTTCTCACCTGGCATAACACGCTCCTCTCAACCTCAACGGAACAGAATGGCGTATCAAGAAGCCTGGGCGCAGCGATTCAACAACTTCAGCTTTCGCAGCTCGGATGAACGCTTGCCTCTGTCCCCACCACCTTCCGATATCCTCGTTCAACAGGAGAATATGGCTGCAGACAACTCTGCTGCCCACCTGAACCGCACCGAATCACTACCCAAGGCATCAGCTGAAATGCCTCCCCAATATGACACCGGCATCTTTAACCAATCGCCCGCTATCTCCATGCCTTCTCCATCGACAGCTGCGCTAGCGGGGCAGCCCCCGAGATATTTAAGCCAGTCCAGCGGCTCGGGGTTGCCCACCTCAAGCCCCCCTTCGGCTGACGACATCTTCTCCTCCCCACATTCTTCAGGCCCTCAGTCCATGTCTTCCTGGCATTCCGACTCTCTTGGCTCTTCTGGTATTCCGTACAGCACCCCCGATCTGAGTGGACAAGATGGCCAAGCATGGTGGTCGCCAATGGCTTCGAGAGTCCCACAGCGACAGCCTTCGTATCAGCAGATGGTGGCGTCCCCAGCTGCACAGAGACCGATCCAGAACTCTGCAAGTCAGAGTGACATGCTGCAAGGGGGCCTTATGATTCAACTGGACCCGTCGTCATACGATCTTTCTAACACACATTCGTCATTCCCCTCAGCCGGCCTGCCTTCCGCTCCAAATGGTCATGAGAGCCGCGCCTACATGCAGCCCACTGCAGCGCCAGTGGATTCATCGTCATTCGTTACCCCTCAAATTCCCTCTACCCACTCACGCTCTCCGTCGCTGTCTCCGGGCTCAGGCTCACCAAAGAGTGGAAGCATGATGCACAATGGTCACCGGAGGTCATTCCAGCGCCAGAGTATGAACCGAAAGCTTTCCTCCAATTCTATGAGCGCACCAAAACCAGTTAAGGCTCCCCACAGTTCATCGGGAAGTCCAAAGGGAGGCAACAAGGCCGTCACCGTATCCTTCGTGAATTTCACACAGAACGATTCCAAGAGGATCCTCACCGGTGTCGCACCCAGTGGCAGCTCCAAGACCAAGGCACGACGTGAGCAAGAAGCCCGCGCTCGACGCCGCGAAATCAGCGAAGCTGCCTTGCAAGCCGTCCGGAGTGCCGGGGGAGATGTTGAAGCTCTGGAGGCCATCCTATGCTAATATCATATGTAATAGTAATACTCACACGTCGATCCAGTGCATCGCTCGTTTGCCAGTATCCGTTTATTTGTCGTCATTTGTGTTCTGCGGCTAGCCAGTTTTTGAATGTTCGTTATACCATTCCAGAGTCTGTTGTTATTATTCTTTTTACTTTTCTGTTTGTTTCATTTCTCGATACAAGGCAACGGTCGTTTGGGTGTTCGTCTGATCATCACTTTTTCTTTTTGAGCCGAAAAGGATTTGGAGTTTGACATTCATCAAAAGCGTTAGATTGGCGGGCATTCAGGTTCCATCAACCTCATACTAGTTGGATATAATATATACCACTAATATTGCATTCTTGAAAAATGTGTTTGCACAGAAGCGAGTGATCTGTATACATATACCTAGGTGGCGACACACAAGAAATCAAGCACCATGCTTTTTGACATACCTTCACGTTCTAAAGAACCGGCCTGATCAATATACGCCTAACGGCGACCTGGTAGAAAACGCCAATGAAAAATAATGTACATAGCTCATTCATAATACAGTAATAGTTCGTAATATACAAGAGTTGGGGGTTTCCTAAGCCAAAGCTCTAGATGGCCGAGTACCATGTGAGACATCCCATCCCGTCACTGATCACCAGAAAAATGTGATGTCTCTTATCGACAGATACTGTTTCGCAACTGTCTGTAATGTTGCTCCAACGACACTAACGAAACACAGCCAATCAGCTTCTCTCTGCGTATGTCTGGCGTGTTCCGCATTTCGGGAACGGATGGCAACCTGGCAAGGCAACCCCAGATATGCCTATTTTAGAGGTGACGAGTCTGACATATGTGTTTCGGATTGAAGCGAGAGAATGGAGGCCCAAGTACGGAGTAGTCAAGCCAAGCTGCAAATTCTCCACCTCCTTCCCTCTAGACACCTCGCTCACTCATCTCTTCGACGCAGTCGGGCTCCACGAATCAGGCTGCCACTTCTGACCCGGAGCGCCTGCCGCCGCCTTCGCCCAGGGGTCATTCTTCTTCGCAGCCTCGGCAGTTGCCGTCTGCGTATCCTCCGAAGGGCTCTTGTTTGCTTGGGCTACTGTCGCATCACTTGTGTTGGTGGCGGGGAGCGGTTGTTGTTGGGATTTGGGCATATCCAGATACGACGGTTTGCTGGCCCAGCGCTCATCGGCCAGACGGGCTAATTCCTTGATTTGCATTTGTCGGATGATGTCTTGTTGTTGTTCTTGGATGGACGGGGGGTCTGCACGGACGTAACGGAGCCATTGGTGCCATTGGGCTGTAGTTTATCGGGGGTACGGTGTTAGCTGCTGCTGTTGGGGATACGCTATGAAAGACCTGAAGGTGCCACTTACGGCTCACTTGGACATCGGCGAGGTGGGTTTTGGGATCGGTCTTGACGATGCGGCGGAAGCGGCCGGCGTTGAGTTGGTCCTTGAATTCCCAGAAGGTGTTTCCGTGTAGGTCGGTGCCTGAGGAAGATGTGTTAGGAAGGTTTCTGGGGAGCTATAGATTGAGGATGGCAGATGAGCTTACCGACGAGGAATGACCTGCGCCAGGGTAGGCGAAGGCCCTTCCACTTGAACCATAGACTGTTGATCGGACTCATTGGAAGACCGAAGTGAGGATGATGGTCGATCGAAGGCTATGCGATCTAGATTGAGGCAGTGCAGTGGTGGTGGAGTGGCGCGGAGAAAGAGGAAGACGTTCCGATCATCGAAATGATGAAGCCGAGATGAATTGAAGCGGCGATGATTGGGCGATGGTTGACACCCGAAATATTAGGCATACGGGACGTCATCGGTAAGATTGGGCGGTCACGGGGCGTCAAATACGGTATTGTTCTGGGCGTTTCTTTTCTATTTCGGGCTTCGAGTGTTCGATTTCCATTCCACGCCGCATTCCGTTCGCCCTTCAACTTTGGCTTCGTTGCTTTTGTTTTGTCTCTGCCTCTTCGGTCAATCTTCTGCATTGATCCCTCATAATCCCCCGGTGATCTGTCTTCTTTATCGCCTCCCCTTCTCTTCATCTAGACCCTGAATTGATCTTCCGGTTCATCCGCCCTCACATAAGCCTCCACCCCCCTCCTGAACCCCTGTGACGTACTGCCGGTTCGTCCCACCGGAAAGCCACTATAAACACCCACTCCCCCTTATTCTTTTTCGTATATTTTTGCGCCCAAGCTGCCTAACGGTCCTTTAAATTCGTCTGCATGTCCCAAACGCTCTGATTGAGACGGCTCGAACTACAAGATGGCCTCCGTCACCTCGCTTGACAAGGACTTGCGCAGTCTGCGCTTGTCCCGCTATACCCCGCAGGCAGCTACGGAAGTCCGCGACTGGATTGAAGAAGTGTTACACGAAAAACTCCCGCCAGGAGATCTCCTAGATGCTTTGAAAGATGGTGTTGCACTCTGCAGGTGAGAATAATACGATTTTCCTTCCAAAAACAGTGCCGTTCAAGAACACTAACAATGTTGCAGGCTGGTCAACTTGGCCGTCTCCCCCGGCGTCAAGTACAAGCAGTCCTCGATGCCGTTCGTGCAAATGGAGAACATCTCTCACTTCCTTCGCGCATGTCAAATGCAGCCCATCAGCCTCCCTCCGCACGATGTCTTCCTGACCGTCGATCTCTACGAAGCCAAGGACCCCGCACAAGTCCTACAATGTCTTACGTCTTTCAGTCGTCGGGCCAATGCTCTCCAGCCTAGCAAGTTCCCTCGCGCACTCGGTCCTCAAAGCAAGGCAGCTACTCTGAGCCCGCATGCCACCGGTTCCAGTCAAGGCGCTTATACCCCCACCAAGTCGAGTGTATCCGGTCACTCCAGCCCGGCAAGATCCCCGAAGCCAGTCAGCAGCTGGAGCAAGAAGTCTGATGAGTTTGTCACGGCCCCCGCCTGGAATATTCACCAGTACGGCTACATGGGCGGCGCAAACCAGGGCAGCATGGGCGTTGCCTTTGGTGCACGTCGGCAGATCACCACCGCTGCCCCGCGTGTCCCCAGCTTGGCGGAGAAAGAGAAGCGGAGAAAGGAGGAAGAAGAACGGCAAGTTTTGGAAAAGCAGGAAGCAGAGCGCCAGCTCCAGCAGGAGCGCGAAGCGGAAGAGGAGCGTGCCCGCATTGAGGAAGAGCGCCGCTGGGAGGAGGAAACCAACCGTCTGAGGGAGCAAGAGCGGCGTCAAGTCGAGGAGGAGCGCAAGCGCTGGGACGCGCAACAGCGCAAATGGGAAGAAGAGGAGCGTCAACGCCTGCGTGAAGAAAAAGAAACGGAAGATAGGCTAGAGCGCGAGCGACTGCAACGACGAGAGGCGCAAGACAGCCGTCTCAACGGACAGTTCCTCAGCCAGTACCAAGCCAGTCTACCAGCAGCATCTCCCGTCCCCCCAGTCTCCAGCGAGAACCGCGAGAGACAACGAATCCGCGAACTCGAGCGCGAGCTAGAACGCGCCAAGGAGAGAGAACGCCAATACGAGCGTGAACGTCAAGACATCCAAGAACGGGCCACCAAATCGCCGCCTCGCAGTCCCCGGCCAGCCCAGCCCAGCTACGACCTATCTTCCCTCGAGCAAGAGCGTCGCATGCTACGCACCGAATGGCAAAAGCACCACGACGAGCCACTCACAGAATCAGACATCCCCCCAAGCATGCCTCCCCGACCCCTCCCAGAGCCTGTCATCTCCGCCGAGGACAAACCATCCACGCCCCCTCGCCCCTTGCCCGACCCCACCGGAGCGAAGCCCCCTATGCCTCCACGGCCCCTCCCCGATCCCACAAGCTACACCCCTCCATCCCAAAGCCCCTACACACAAGAGAGCCGGGTCGACCGATTCCTCGCATCCAACCGACCCCCTGTTGCCCCGAAGCCCGCCGCCCACCGGCCTCAGGACTACACCACCACAGCGGAGGTAGACGCCGAGGATAGCCGTCGCGCCGCCGCTCAAGAGAAGACCAAGGCCGGTGGCTGGGCTTCCAAGTCTCTTCTGGAACGCGAGATGGAGCGCGAACGGGAACGTCAGCGCGAGTGGGAGGAAAACCAGCGCCAGACACAGGAGGCAGCAGCTAGGGCTGGGTCTTCTACTGCGGGCGCTAAGCGGCAGATTATTGGGCCGAGGCCACCTCCGTAAATATAAAGTGGAGTGTGCCCTTTTCATAGTTCGCTTTTCCTTCACCCCCTTTATCTATTTTGTCTGCCTGTCTGGTTTTAGTTTGTCTCCCCTGTGTTGTGGATATACCCTTTTCTTTTGCCTCCTTTTTTATCCCCTTCGCACCGCTTGGTGCGGTGGTGCGTGCAATTGCGAAGTTTGCTTGGTTTGCGTGGTCCAAAATATATTTCTGTCCGGGAAAAGAAAAATCGAAATGAAAGGATTGAAATCAAATGTAAATAAATAAGTAGTTCAAGGTGAATTCCGATAGACAATTCGAACTAGTTCAGTTTCAGTTTCATATCAGTTCCAACTAAAATGGGTATTTGTACTATCTATACATTAAGGAAATATGGCCGAAAGCTTGCCTCAAGACAGTATGAGAGTCGACGAGCGAAACAGAAGGTATACTTAGACAAACAAGGAAAGCAACATGACGCGCTTGCTATTGATTCGCTCACTCCAATCACGCACGCATGCAAATAGAAGAAAGAAAAAGATGAAACAATTTAATACCTCAAGCATCATGTGGTAGTGGCATCACCCTCGAACGGCAGAATACAAAGCACGAGAAATTGTAACCGCTCCGCACTCTCCTCCAACCACGCCCGCTCGATATCATCCGCCCACCTGTAAGCTTCCTGGACATATTTCCGCGATTGGTATTCGGACCGGTCGAAACGACGATTAACGCCCTTATGAACAGCTTCTCGCAGACTTTTCGTGACGCTTAGCATGCCGTTATCGGCGAGAAGAATGATCAGTGACTCCAGGATGAGGGAGATTTTGGTGTTATCGGCTATGAATTTTGTGCTGGCCGCGTAAGGCAGGAAACATCGTTCCAGCTTGGCTTGGTTGAGATATTCGTCGTCGGTGTCGGGGGCGGCGGTCTCGCGCATGCGAAAGAGGAGGAACTCGCAGAGGGTGGTTTTGGCATGGCCAGAGAGGTAGGGGAGGGTGGAGGGGCTGATGAAGGCTTGGAATACAGGGAGGGGCAGATGGCGGATGTTTTCGGCGTAGAGGTGGTAGAGGTCTTCGAGGTGGATGAAGTCGTCGGGGAGGTATTGGGAGACGGTGGATAGGAGTTGTAGGAGTCGTTGTCGGAGACCGAGCGAGCGCATGCCTCCGTAGAAGCCGACGTCGCCGTGCATGTAGGGGATGTGTCTTGTGGGAAGCTCTTCGATGGGCACACGAGCGCCAGTGCTTGGGGCAGAGCCGCCGTATGGGCCGGGGGGTGTATTGATGCCGTTGGGGCCTATGGCGAGTGATTTGCCTCTGCGCTTGGGCTGGGGTGCGCGCCGAGGGGTGGGTTTTTCTTGAGAGCGTTTGGACCTGCTGGTGGTTGAAACAGACGGATATACTTCCTCGTCGGAATTGGCGTCCGTCTCATTGATATCCTTGTTTTCATCGTCATAGTCTCCATCCTCGATCGGATCATCGTCCGTGAGGTAGTCGCCGAACTCGTTCTCATCGATGTTGACCTGCGCGCTGCGCTTTCTGCTGGTGGAGGTGTGAGCTTTTGCGTATTTGAGTTCATTTTCGAAGACTTCGCGAAACTCGTTGCGAGAGGTCGAGCCACCGTCTGCAAAGATGGAGCGGACGATGCGCCGGTATGGACCGTACGTGGTGCTAGCTCCGTGAATGTAACGGAATATGAGGCTTTCTCTGAGGATCTGCAGGGCTGGATCATCGTCATGATGCATTTTCCTCCTTCGGGACTTCTTCGGGGAGGGCGGTGGTCCCTGTTCATTAATGGTGATTCCGGTGTGAGCCTCCTTATACTGTCGAAATCGTTCGTTCCAATCACCCTCTAGAACATCACACATGTATTCAAGCCAGACCTGCCACCACGTCCAGCGCGGACGATGGCGAACAGAACAGTTGAACGCCCAGCCAACGACATGCCAAAAGTCTTCTGCATTAGACCACAGGGAAAGAGACTGGCCTAGATCTAAGTTCAAGGGTTTCGTATCATCGGAAGATAGGTCCGAGGGTGGGGGAATGTTCTCTGCCACGGGACGTCGTCTTGTATGGCGGGGAAAATCGGGTACGTTGAATGAGAATGCGACGTTTAGCTTCGAAGAGATGGGTCCGACGAGTGTATTGGTCAGTCGAAGCAGACGTAATGCGGCCAGGGGTGCTTCTTCCTCCTCAGTTGTTTTTGCGCGCGTGGTGGTGGAGGGGTGTATGAGGAGAGTTGCGGCTAGGGCGAGTTGCTGGACGGGTGGAGTATATACTGGCGCTGAGGCAACGGTACCGGATGTGAGGATATTCAGTAGAAAATTGATAGCTTGTGTATCTAAACCGGGAGGTCAGATGTGGACAAAGAAGAAACAGCGATGCGGAGGAAACGGACAGAGTCTCTCTTCAAAGAAGATGGCTGCATGTTGAACTAGCTCGAATGGAATGGGTTTGGCGGGTCCATGAACAGGCAGAATCGCCTCTAGAGGTTCTGAAGCCGCCATAGAAGATGGGAGTGAAGGGAGAGGTAGAGAAACGAAGAGGATATGGAGAAGATGAGGGAGAAATGGAGATGAATGGAAATGGAAATGGCGGAGCGATAAAGAAAGCGACGCGATGCTTATCGATAACCCAGCCGGGGCAGCACGTGTGCCAGCCAATCAGATGTGGTGCCTGACAATGCGGGCCACAATCAGGCAGTCCCACACTGCGAGACCAATTCGGCTTGTTCCCTACTGTTTGCAACAGAGAAATGAAGGGTTGGTTGAAATGGACGGGATAAACCAAGTATCCTGAGCGTTGGCCTGAAACTTCCTGAGCTGCGGAGAGTTGATGATTGCCGACTTTTAGGATATCATGCATAATAATGAGTCAATTCTCAGCAAATCAGGGTGCTGTAGTGTAGTGGTCATCATGAAACGTTGTGGTTTTCCGCAGCGCCGTTTCGACCTGGGTTCGATTCCCAGCAGCGCCAACAATTGGCGTTTGAGCCTGATCTGCTTTCTCTTTTCTTTTTGTGCGATAGATACACTTTATTTATCGCTCTATTTCATTCGAAACCATGTTTTTTGTCTACGGCGGCCACCATATAATAGCCCTTTTTCTGCTTTCAATTCTGATACTGTGCTACATTCATCAGTGTCTCTCTTCCATTGCTAAGTTCAAGCCACCGAATCTCTGTGGGCAAAGAGACTGAGATACGTAGTATTCCGCATGAACCGCCATCACCATATTAATATACAAGTTAATGTGCAGCCTCATCGGGGTGGTAGTAGTCTATACAGCAACTAATGAATATTAGGTAGTAGTACTTACTATATGATTACTCCATGTATTAGTGGTACGAGTGGTTGGTGTGTCTGAATACCTTCCCGATTATATATAGAAGGGCTACACCACTACACCGAAGGATAGTGAAAAGCCATGACACCTAATCACGAAAAAAGGAGAGATAAGCAACGAGCATATTATAGAGCTAAGTGGTACCTCTTAAAGTCATATGCACAAAAGTTAGTGACCTGTGGTGTAATTAGTGGCTGGCTACTCCCATGGATCCGACGCTCGGACGGAATATCGTAGGAGCACAAGTGCGATGAATTCCCAAGATACCCATTCGACAGAGAATCATACTATCCAGGAAGAATCCTAATCCTACTTCTGTTCCACCATAGCACACGACAGGGAGTTGGGTTCTGCAGCAGATTAGTCGTCCTAGCACAATTCGTGGACTAGCAAGCATGCTGGCTATCTTGCCCAGCACCACCCTGGAGAGCCACCGTCCGTTAGGTCACATGGACGGAAAATATGACCAGACACCACTATCTGAACGGCAAGTCAGACAGAATCTTCTTGAATAGACCGTGGGCAGTCCCACGGATCATCCACAGCCACCTTCCCAACCAGCCCAACTGTCCAGGAACATGAAGCTATACTCCTTTCGCTCGGGCCCGAACAAAGTTTGGCCGAAGTATCCACACCCCGTGCCACGAAAAGCTTGACCTGAGCCAATCGTTTGAGGATTCACGTTCCCAGCATCATTCGTATCGTCTTTTTTTTTTTTTTTTTTCGTTTGCCGAGTGTATGTACCCCCAAAATGAATGCTTCTATAGCAGTAGTGGGGACAACATATGGCAGGGATGAATCCCCCGCGCCCCCTTGAAACCTGTGCGCAATGTCGGTAAAGTTTGGATGAACCTTCCAGTTGATGCCCCGCGTACCTCGTATGATGTGGGTGATACAAGCCAGAAAGGCAGGGAGCTGCGCGCGAGCCGTCCGGTAGACGATTCGCATTCCCATTGGTGATCTCGGCAGTCGAACGAGATTCACCATCCCAGGGTGCACAATACGAAGTCACTGGAGCCAGATGGCAGCCATTCACTGACAGTATCCAGATAGAGATTGGCTTCGTAGTATGCTCGTGGTCCATACTACTAATTTAGCTGGTCTGAACGATGCTCCGTAGGTCTGATTGGAGGGGCGTAGTCTAGTTATCGGATGTCTCACTTGTGACTCAATTCACCACCGCAAAAGACCCTTGCATTCCCGGCGGGATTGATAATTGACCCGCATATCCCACAGACCCAATAACTAACCAGTCTTTCCGCCATAGGCGCATTTCTCTCAACCAGCACGTGTGTTTGGGGTGGTTGATGAATGGATCTATGTCTCTATCTGGTCATGATAAGCGGACGGATACCCAATCCGATCGGCTCGTTGGACGTGGGGTGATAAACAAGATCGACCACGGTGAGGGTGAAAATCCTCCCTTCCCACCTCGCATCACATCATACCTGATGCATGTGTCCTACACGGTATGGTAAGATGAAACCTGTAAAAAAATCCGTTTTACGGCGAGGGGTAAGATAGACGGATGTGGCTCGAAGAAAAAAAAAGCGGAAGAAACCCGCCAAGCGAGCGAATACTTATCAATCAGCGGATCTCGTATTTCGAGAGATGATCTGATTAAATAACTTTTTGTTGTCGCGTGTGTTTGTGTTGCGTTCATAGGGCCAATTTTCTTCCCTTCGTCGTCAATATGGGCAATAATCCGGTATTTGCTGTCACTGGTAGGTTCATCACAACATAACAGGGATATCCATGAGATGATGGGTTACTGATTCCAGTCAGTGTTCTTCATCTGCTTCCGAGAATGCTTGGAAACAAGCGTGGTTGTGTCTGTGCTGTTGGCTTTCTTGAAGCAGACTCTCGGGGATGACGGGGGCGATACGTATAAGCGACTGGTGAGACAGGTAAGTGTACTCACGGCTTCAACATGTCATTATCGCTGAATTCAATTGCTGATGATTGTCTCGTCCACACCAGGTCTGGCTAGGATGCGCACTCGGACTATTCATCTGCCTCTGTGTCGGCGCGGGCATGATTGGCGCCTTTTACAGCCTAGGCACGGACACGTTCTCTAGCACCGAAGATATCTGGGAGGGTGTTCTAGGAATCTTAGCATCTCTCATCATTGCGGTCATGGGAGCAGCCCTATTGCGAGTGTCAAAACTGCAGGAGAAATGGCGGGTTAAGCTCACCAAGGCTCTTCAGCACCATCGCAACACCAACACCTCGCGCAAGGGCCGTGTGAAGATGTGGCTCGAGAAATACGTCATGTTTATCTTGCCATTCATCACCGTACTTCGTGAAGGACTGGAGGCAGTGGTGTATGTTGGTGGTGTTGGATTGGGATTGCCGGCTACCTCTTTCCCTTTGGCGGTAGTGGTCGGTCTCATTGCAGGATGCTTGGTTGGATATCTGATTTATCGGTAAGTAAACCACGCACCGTAACTTGCTAGATGACACAAGCTAATGCAGACATCGCATGTTATAGAGGAGGCAGCGAATCGACCATGCAATTTTTCTTAATTGTCTCGACCTGCTTCCTTTACTTGGTAGCCGCGGGCTTATTCTCCCGCGGTGTATGGTACTTCCAAAACCACGCTTGGAACAGTATCATTGGCGGGGATGCTTCCGAAACGGGATCAGGCCCTGGGTCTTATGACATCCGACAGAGCATCTGGCACGTCAACTGCTGCAACCCCGAGTTGGGAGGTGGCGGCGGATGGGGCATTTTCAACGCCTTGCTGGGATGGACCAACTCAGCCACATACGGATCCGTGATTGGCTATAATCTATTCTGGCTCTGCGTGATGCTCGCCTATGCTGCGATGCTGTATCGGGAGCGGCGTGGTGCAATCCCCGTTATTGACCCGATGATTGCGCGCTACCAGGCGTTCAAGGCCCGGGTGATAGCAACCATTCTTCGTCGACCAGTGGAAGAAGAGAGCGTTGAGCCGGTGGAGCAGTCGGGGATTTTTGCAGAGAGTGGCAAGGCGAAGGAGACTGGTGTCGGAGGGCCAATGTCTGTGAGGGAGGCGGAGGTTAGGGCTGCGTAGCGATAGACCGATGGTGCTAGACTGCTAGTATAGACAACGGAGCGGGGGGTTTTCTCATTGAACCGCGTCATGCGGGTAATGTAAGTAGATTATAATTTGTAATCGCATCTGGCGGCTTTATGGTTCCTTGACGAACCAAGAAAAATAATAGGCGCCAGTTCCGCAAATTGTCAGAGGAAGACACAATGATACTGCGTAGTAAATGAAAGTAGGGCAATCGTAATTAAACCATACAACACGTTACCGCAAGAATACTAGCGTAATACCCGCTCTTGGCGCGACCGGGCCCAGCATCAGATAAGCCAACGCCCAGACAGTTTGATAAGATTTGGGGCACAAGACACCATCTGCTCGCGTGCAAATGACGAGGAAAAGAAAATCTCTGTTCGACTGCCATCTTTAAGCCATTTCATTGTCGGAGATATTATAGCCAAGCCATGCCAAGTCGGCGTTCTCTACCTGAACTGGGGATCAAGCTATTGTGGGACTGCATGCTGGGTGGGACTCCGAGAAATCTACCAGTTCGGGCGATGGTGGGAAACCGTTCCTCACATACAGCCCAGTATTCGGTAGTACTAGTCAATATCAGATGGGCTATCTGATTCGTCTCAAGCCTCGCATTCGTGGATGGCTCCTCCTCATTTTACCTTCATCCGGCGGCCCGACTGATTGATAAGTGGGATGATTGATCCATAGTATCTAGTAGTCATACTAGTCATTTAATTCATCTTACCTTTTTTACTTTTCTCTCTCGTACTCCACCCTGCCAACTGAAACCCCCCAAGGGCCTCCAGCCCAGGGTATATAGAACCCCCAACGTAGAACCTCCCCCCCTTCCCTATTTCTCTTTCCTTCTTTGTCCGAGCAAATCCCCTCCCTCTCTCTCGTCCTTCATCGTCCGCCCTTTCATCCCGGACAGGACAGATAGACAGACAGACAAGATGGCCTTCCCCAGCCGTCTTCTCCCCTGGCTCGCCGCCACCATCTTCTTCTTCATCGCCCAATGCCAGGCCAAAACCGTGACCTATGACTGGAACGTCACCTGGGTGACCGCCAACCCAGACGGCCTGGCCGATCGCCAAGTTGTGGGCATCAACAATCAATGGCCCCTGCCCATCATCGAAGTCGACAAGGGCGACCGCCTTGTAGTGAACATGCACAATGGACTCGGCGACAAGAGCGCTTCAATCCATTTCCACGGCATGTACCAAACCAACACCACGGAAATGGACGGCCCATCCATGTTGACCCAATGCCCTGTGCCGCCGGGCAGCTCCATCACGTACAACTTCACCGTCAACCAGAACGGCACGTACTGGTACCACTGCCACACCGACTACTGCTACCCAGACGGCTACCGCCAGGCCCTGATCGTGCACGACAACTCCTCCTACTTCGCCGACAAGTACGACGAGGACCTCACCATCACCATGACAGACTGGTACCACGAACTGACCGAGACCATCGCCCCGACCTTCATCACCGTCGATAACCCCACCGGCGCTGAGCCCATCCCGGACTCCTTCCTCTTCAACGACACCCTCAACACCAAAATCCCCGTGGAAGCAGGAAAAACCTACCTCTTCCGTCTCATCAACATCGGCGCCTTCGTCGCCCAGTATTTCTACATAGAAGACCACACCATGCGCATCGTCGAAGTCGACGGCATCTACACCGACGAGGCGGAAGCAGACATCCTCTACATCTCCGCCGCGCAGCGCTACACCGTCCTGGTGACGATGAAGAACTCCACGGAGAAGAACTACCCCATCGTCATGGTCGCCGACTCCCAACTGCTCGACACCATCCCCTCAGACCTGCAACTCAACCAGACCAACTGGCTCGAGTACAACTCCAGCGCCGCGTTCGAGCAAGCCGTCATGACCGTCTCCGACTGCTCAGACCTCAACCCCTACGACGACATGGGCCTGGTCCCCCATGACAGAATGCCCCTTCTCGAGAACCCTGACATCTCCCTCGATCTCACTGTCACCATGCAAGTCCTCGACGACGGCGCCGACTACGCCTTCCTCAACGACATCTCCTACACCGCTCCCAAAGTCCCCGCCCTCTACACCGTCATGTCCGCGGGTGACCAGGCCACAGACGCCACTGTCTACGGCGACTACACCCACTCCGTCGTGCTGGAGAAGGACCAAATCGTCGAGATCATCCTCAACAACGGCGACACCGGTACCCACCCGTTCCATCTTCACGGTCATGCCTTCCAGATGATCGATCGGTACCCGCCGTATGGTCCTCATTTCTATGACTACGCCGACGGTGATCCGATCACCTACAATGCCTCGAACCACACTGCTTTCCCGGAGTACCCGCCCCGGAGAGATACCTTTGTGCTTCCGCCCCAGGGTTACTTCGTTGTGCGCTTCAAGGCCGATAACCCCGGTGTGTGGTTCTTCCATTGCCATATTGATTGGCACTTGGCGCAGGGTTTGGCTATGGTGTTTATTGAGGCCCCGTTGGCTATTCAGTCTAGCGTTACTATCCCCCAGCAGCATTATGAGGTTTGTGAGGCGGCGGGTATCGCTACGGCGGGTAATGCCGCCGGCAATACCGAGGATTATACCGATCTTACGGGCCAGAATAAGCAGGTAGCGTGGTTGCCTGGTGGTTTCACGGCTAGGGGTATTGTGGCTTTGGTGTTCTCGTGTGTGAGTGCTTTCTTGGGTATGGGCATGATTGCTTTCTATGGATTGTCGGATATTAAGAAGGGTGGGGGTCAGGTGCAGACTAGGAGGGAGGAGGTGAGAGAGCATGAGGATTAGTTGTTTTACTTTTATTTGTTGTTTTGTTTGGATAAGGGGGTTTGAAGAAGATGCTCTGGTTTGCATCAGATACCCGATGAATTAGATAGGATTAAAAGTATGTAATGTATTAGAAGTGTAAGAACTCTTTGTCTTATCGTCATCTTCGTAACTCGTAAATTCCACAAGATGGGCATAGAATAATTATTTAAGAGGGAAAGGGTATGCATGGCCAGCATAAATCGTATCAATATAAGGAAGTCGGACTGCCTCCCCACCCCTATGCCATCGATAGAAGCCAGCCGACGATATACTCATCGCCGTGTCTTGTAGTAGGTAGTCTGGCCAACCCTTACTGCCCGGTTTGATTTGTCTTTCTGGGAAAAGTGGACTCCTGGGCTACTAGATTGCCCGGCAATTCACCTAATGGTAACCGAGATGTTGGTTTTTGTCTTGCCCGAAATATTTCCCGTCTGCTGCCAGAGTTTTTTGGAGGCGACTCAAAGTCAATGATCACGAGGCCGCCAGTCTCTTCGTTCCAAAGTATATTGCGCCATTCTGGATCGCTATGAATGACACCACACGCACTAATCTTTTCCAAGACCTCATTGCGCTGCTCTCGGAAAGAAGGAGCAGTCTGCTCAGTCATAACCTTGTTCGCTCTAATACCTGCCCAGCTCAAAACAAGCATATGCGCCATCAACTGGCCGTGGTACCAGTACCGAACGCGCGGAGCGAAATCCCCCACGCATACCGGAACATGCGTGCCTTGAAGAGAGCGGAGATGATGGTAGGCTTTGATTTCTTGCCCGAGGCTTGGCAGCTGTTCGGCGCTAGTGGCCTTGAGAACCACAGTGTATCCATGGGATAATAAGGTGGCTTTCAAGAGGAAACCAGTCCTACCGACGATGTGTAGCTGCTCGAAACCAAATTCCCGATCGCGCGATAATTGATCAGACAGGAGGCGCGTCAAATCACGAGCGTTAATCTTGTGGACTAGATGTCCGTGTTTTTTGACGTTCGGACATTGAGGATCCAGAGGGCCTCTCTTAGCCAAACCACGCAGGCAGTTCATCGTGCAATACAGGTCTTGAATCGCGTTCTCTGACTTTTCGGCTCTTTTCGGCGTGCACCCGCTAGCTTCCTGGGATCCTCGTCCTCGTCCTCGTCCTCGTCCCCGCCCCCGCCCTCGGTCGCCTCGAGCCCTTCTAGAGGCATTATTAGGCGGCGGAGAAGGGGAAGGCGGGCTTGAAGGAGCTCCTGCTTCGTCTCCATGCTCATCCTCATCGTCAGTTCCTTGGCTTTTTCGTGACGGCTGGAAGTCAGGCTGACAACGCCGTCGTAGCATATACGGGGACCGATCCACAGGCTTCCATGACGGGGGCTTATATTCGGAAGACGGTGGCTCTTTGCGGACCGATTCCGGTATCTGTTTTAAGATATCCAGGTATTCAACTTCCCACGTGTCCAAATTATCGGCTGCATCGTACCACGCCTGAGATGGACGATCAGCTTGCACGGCGTTGAGCGTGAAGGCCAGAACCTGAGCAACTGCTGTTCGGTGTAGACGAAGCTCATCCTCGTCAGTGACATCCCGGTTGGGGACGAGCAAATAGTATTGCACAACCGATGGATCTTCGGTGATGCGAAGACAGATGAAGGCCTCCCCGGTGCAGATATAGCCGTGTTGGACTCCCACGTCTACCATGTATGAGAAAAGCTGGGTGATTACTGCTGCCACGAGCCGAGTAGCATGGTATTCGAAGCTGTCTCCATCCGTGTTGATGACATCTTTCTCCAAATCCATCTCGTGGAGACCGGCGAGTATTTCAGCCAGCGATAGCTTATGTGGAGCTTTGTGTTCGACAGCATACACGGGCACTCGTTGATCGTCTGATATTACATGGACGCAGAACTGGTCAGCACGACGGTTACGTCGTCTCCGATGGACCGGCCGCTGTGCACTTCGTGCTCTGCCTCGAGTAGAAGGTACGTGTTGTACCGACTCTGCTATTCGAAGCTGTTGCATTGTCGTTTCGAGTGGGGAGGTCATGTCATCGGCATTGTTATGGTCCTCGAAACTAATATGTCCATGGAGTTTGAAGCGCCGGCGAAGTCTGTCGTTGTTGTATATCTCCTTTAGAATTGAACGTACGAATCTATCCACGGTGTCGCGTTGGAAGTATCGAAGTTGATGTTCGGACCTTATTGGTAGAATATCTTGCCGGATGAGATCCAGTTGTTCCTTGGACGCGAAAGCGCGATGCGTGGAAAAACCGGGGCCTTCATTATCGAATGCTTCCCAGATGGCCTCCTGAGAGGCAGGAAACCCTTCCCAAGGTACCAAGCGTTTAGGCCGTATTCTATTGACAGGATTGGTTGGGTCACCTTGGGTTGTTAAAGTTGCATCTGCCTCGACACGTATAGCAAGAGAAAGCTCATGACACCCTTCGAGAAGGCCAAGAAGGGTGCTTGGTTCGACTCGCTGCTCTGCCTGACTGATTCGCTGTTCTGCCTGACTGGCTCGCTGCTCTGCCTGGCGGATTCTTTCCAACAATGTATTCACATCATGCTCCATGGCGCGAGCGAGAGAAGGTAGTGGTTTGTTAATTGTAAATAGTCGTAGTAGTATCTATCCCTTTCGGGGTCGACAAGAACTTGCGGTACTGCTGACTAATTGTTGACAGAACGTGGGACTGTGAAAGAAAGAAACAAACAAACTGTTTCAGTCCACCTACAACCTGCAGTATGGGAGAGGAAAGCCACAAAGGGCAGCACAAGTGATTGTTATCGTCCTCTGGAGATGAGAGGGAGTGGGTTAGTTATAGTAAGAACAAAGTCTCCACCTGGGGGGCTCAGGTTCTTCTCTAGGAGACCGCTTTCCCCGCTCTGCTGTGAACCAACTGTGCAGCTTTCGGCGCCTTGGCACATACATCTAGACCATCTTACCCTACTCAACGACAGTGTGACTGTTGGGATATTCATCAATCATAGATCACTTCTCCATCATCTTCATTGGAGTTATAGACGCAGCAGACTGCCCCCAAGACCCATGTAGCCTGCTAATCTAGTCTCTCTCCAAATTGGGCACAAAATGCATTCGTTCACTCTGATCTTCCGTTTATTGCTGGGATCACTGTTTGACACTTCATGTAACAGTTCCTCTTAAGTTTGATCAGCTGCATCATGGTCGTTTAACCGTGGAGAGCACGGATTACGTACTATCCAGTTATTTGGCGCGTTAACCCCCCAAAGGAAACATTATACACCGAAATGGTTTTTTCATTCATATCACAGTAGATCGTCAGAAGGGAATGGAGGCCTCCATGGACTAGTAAACAATTTGGATAACTCTTGCCATTGGACATGGCTATTGCTCGATGAGTTGCTGGGACCCTAGTATTCACTGTGGGACTCTTACCTGATTGAGGACTGCTGATCTCTTGCAGGGGAGATAACAGCAGGCCAAGGGACAGTTGTCTGTCTGACAAACCACTTCACTGTTGTTTGATGGACTTGTGGATCTGCGGGTCAGAAGAGGAGTACGAGATGAATACCGGTATCATAGTAGGTTATCTCGGCTGTTCCCATGGCTGTGTGATCACGTAGCCAGAGTTACATACTGCCAGCCGGATTCGAGTCTAATAAGAGGCTATGAATTACTCCGCTAAGATCACGCCATCAATGGCGGACTGCTGCCTACGGACAGACATATCAGGTCTACAGGTAGCACCACAGCATAAGGAATATCTTCTTATATAGAGTGTAGTGATGAGAAGAGAGTCCAGAACAATCAGACCGGCCTCGCCTTATCTTCATCTATTCCGCATACCCCATTCACGCCAGCACCTTTCTATAAACCGAACCACATTTTCCCCTTTTCCTTGCCTCCTCCATTCTTTTCGTTTTCCGAAACAAGACTGACGAGTCTGTCTGCCCATTGCATGCCGAGATACGAGACCCACGAAATCGAGCACGATAGAGAGATTTGGGATAAAGCAAAACGTTAAAAGAACAGGGAGGCATGGAAAAGAGACAGCGACGCCAAGCGGAGAATATTATCAAGAACGGGAAGTAGTAGTTTAGTAGGGAGAAGCAATAACACACAGGTTAAGTGTAAGGGAATAAAAGCAAGTAGATAAAGCCAAAAAGGAAACGGAAAGGAAAGAGGAAGAGAAGAGAGCGGCTACTCTTCGGGTATATCAGAGAAGAGACCTATTCGCAGACGGTGCGACTAATCACATCAGTTAGCAAGTGACTCACCCACCACAGAAAGCAAGGACAGCAACATACAAACGGCAATTTCGGGATGACAACTCCTAGGGTTGCAAGGAAATTGATGGTGAAATACGTCAAGTCGTAGTGGGTATAATGTGTGCTGAGGAGGAAGAGACAAATGGGTACGCAGAGGAGGAACTTCTTCGTGGGGGTATACTGGTCTCCATTGTCGATCTGCTCCCACATGTTGAGGTTGTCGTACGCGCCGGCGTTGAATTCAAAAGGGATGCCCCGCACCCAGTGGAACATGAGGAAAGAACCGAACATGTAGCTGATGTTGGTGAGCGTCCATGAGGTCTCCTGCGAGACGCCGGGAATGATGTCGAACAAGATCTTGAGGGCAATGATGAGAACGAAGTGAATGGTCCAGGCTCCTAAACGATAGTACAAAGTGGTCAGCCACTGGGGGTGTCATGGAAGTCATGGGGACATATGCTGGTGACAAGTCCCCGCCGGAACTCGAACCCCTCCTTCTGCAGCGACGGAGTGGTGATGATGGGGGGAAAATGGTGGAGATGGAGGTGGCCACTACTCACCCTTGGCGTTGACCCAGTTCGCATTCAAATTGGGCAGGGCAGCCTGGTCGCTGGTGTGCTCAATGGACTCGGGAGGCTCTTGGTAGATGATGCTACTCGACCGTCTCCTCCGTCCAGCTTTGCCCTGGGCCATGGTGGTGTCCGGGGTCAACCGGCGCGACGCAGCGTCGACGTCCGGGGGGAAGGAGATGGCACGGGGAACGATTA